TACAGCCAATTAGTGAAGCAATGTTGCTGGCTCCAGTCTCTGGAGAATTTATGGCTACTAGCTACTGTATATAGTGGTAAATTGTGACTTGAAAAGCAACTGCTATGTCCAGTTGGAACCAGCTGTTGCAAAACAGTCCTGCAATATAAATTGAGCACTTTCTGCTGCACCTGGCATCCAGAGCAGGTATTGCAGAACTACTCAGGAATGTGCTATAGCATTGGCGAATTTATTTTTGGTTAGACTTGGAGGTTTCAATATGATTTTTTGAATTACGATTTATCATTTTTACACGTGCGGTGACTGTGGTAATACTGTCAGCGTTAAGTCAAAGTTTTACTTTAACCTTTTGAAATAAAGGGAGATGGTGCGTGCAAATTGAGATTTACTAGAAACAGGATTTTGAGGCAGTGTATTCCAGATTTGTTTGTAGAACACTGAGATTACTCATTTAATCTTCAAATAAGGCAATGTTTCTCTCAGTGCTGAAGAAGGTGTAAACAGAAGAATTGGCCTTATCTTATTCTGTATTTTTTCTTACACATTCACAACTGCACCTCAAGATGGTCTGTTGTGCAGTGATAACACATTGTTGCCTTCACGCAGGAAGAAAATCAGTAGGAACAGCTTTGCCCAAAGTAGAGCAGTGTTTCAATGGCTCAGTATGTAGGTACACTAAATGATGATTTTCTAAGCCATAAAGACAATGAAAATCCCATGATCTTTTGCACGGGTTTGCTAAATTAGCTTATCTCTGCTGGGTGGTGGTAAGAACAATAAAGTTGGCACCAGTGCTCTTAGGCTAAGAAGTGGCAAAAAATAGGCAAGGTCTCTGCATCTGGTTGTCATTTCGTACTCCATACTCGACTGTGCATGTCTTGTGGAGACATTTTGTGAAGAGCAGATCATGTTTAGCTATGATCCTCTCACTGGTAAATAACCTGAAGGGGGTGATTGTTCAGGTATATACACAAAGAATGGACACTTGATATGAGTTGCAATAAAACTACCCCAAGTATGAGCTGCTAACCTCCAGAAAGAAGGGGAAATAATTGGGGAAAATCCCACACAACTTGTGTAAATTGATTATAAAATTGAATTGCTTTGTGAAGTCTCAAAGACGTGATAAGGTGCTATATCAAATGCAAGGAATATTATTATTAAAATGGCAAAGTCTGGAGTCAGTGAAAAACCTCTTGAAGATAAAATTCTAGGTTTCATAACTTTATAAAATTAGTAAGCTATTATTTCCCCTCTTTGCAAGGTCGTATCTTGGCTGAGAGTAGGGGGCATTAATCTGCTTTAGGATTTTACCAATGATGTCAAATAACTGTCTACCAGCAAATGTTTGAGTACCAAAATGTAATGGCACGGTCTGCTCTTATTATTTATCTTTGACATGTATATTCCCATGTCTCAAAAATGTATTTCTAGGTGGGAAAGAGTAAACTATTTCTCTGATTTCGATTTGTCCTCTTATTGAAAAAGAACCTATGTGGGTAATCTCAATGCTTATTTCAAGTTCAATCATTCTGTGGCGGTGTTTTGGAGCTAGTGTGCTGTACTACTGTGCCATCTGTTTGTAATTTTCTTGACATCCTCTTGTTTCTGTTTCCTTTTGTTGGTGGGGGGGATGGTTTGTGTGCTTTGAGTGTTTTTATTTAAACAGTAACTGCTGATGACATTGGGAACTGGCTTTTGAGCTTAGTAACTGATCTGATTCACACAATTGAATTGTAATCTTTGAAGCAGCCATTGGGTTAACAGCTGCACCTCTGCAGATATTAATTCAGCTCCCTCAGATTGTTAGGTTGAGCAGTTTCTTGTAGGCTACTTCCATGCTGTCATCAATTAAAGCAATTTCTGCATGAAAATCAAAACGATTACCCTGGACACAACAAAAGCAGACCCACCAGCACGTTGCCTCCTAGCACTCCCTCCCAGGGATCCCTCTTCACCCAAGCACAGGCAAGCTTTTGAGTTTCCTCTAAACTCCAGGCAAATGGTGCATTTTGATGAGCTTGTAGCATGTGATTTCCCCCCTACCCTTTTTGACGTGGATAAGATAGTCAACATCTCTTGGGCTGAATCAGAAAAAATTCTCCAAAGTCGAGCCCTCATTCCTGGCCTAATGCCAATGGCTAAATGGCAACAATCCAAACAAACTTGGGCACAATTGACAAGCGCTCGCACCACATTTGCCACTGTGGAGGTTCACAAAGATTTCTTAGCAGAGCCAAACTCCCACAAACTGATGCAATAGGCAGCTGTATTGATACATCTAAGCACTCAGTCACTCAAGCAGTATGCAAGGCACTCCGTAAGAAGTACTGTACTCTACCGTAATGCGGTATGTAAATTTTACAACAACAAATTGCATTTATACAGTCTTTCACGTCGGGCGGACATCAAAAGGCACTGTACAGTCAAAGGTTTGTGCCTAAGCTGGGGGTTGGAACAGAGGGGCAAGGGAGCTGGGCATGCGAGGATGACCAAAGGCACGGTCCAAGAAGAAGGTCTTGAGATAGTCCTTGAAGGAGGCAAGGGAGGGAGCAAGGTGAAGGAACTCTGGGATGGAGTTCCAGAGGGTGGGAGCAGAAAGGCTGAAGGCCCTTCCCGCCGATAGTGTGGCAAGCTGGGCGGGTGACATGGGCAGGCCAGTGCAGGCCAAGCAAAGGGAGGGAGGAATGCTTTAGCGGGTCACAGAGGGTAGGGGAAAGATCATGGAAGGCTGTAAAAGTGAGGGCAAGGATCTTACATTCAAGGAACTTCTAACACAACCACCAAGATTGTCAGGTTGAGCATATGTACACTATATGCATTGGGGTGTCAGTCAGATTTATGAGCTCAAAGTCTTGACTTGGGTTTTGAACTTGCATCGTTTTGATTCAGATGTGAGAGTGCTGTCAACTGAGCCATACCTGGAGGAGGTTATTAAAGATCCCTTGACACTATTAGAGAAGGTAGTTGTTCCAGTATCTTGGTCAATAATGCTTCAGATTAACCTGTCATTCCATCATGGCTGTTTGTGGGATTGTACTCTTTGCAAAATGGCTGCCTATATATAAAAAAATAAAAACTACACATGACAATAATTACTGTGAAAGTATTAAGGAGTATGGTGAAAGAGCAGGACAGTGGAATGGGCGCAATGGGCTGAATATCCTCCTGTTCTTGTTTTCCTATGTTTGTATGAAGCTCTTGGAGTTGTGTTGTCATTATAACCACTATAAAAATGCAAATTCTTTCATTCTCTATCTACTGTAACTTTTGACTGTGCTGCAACCAAAGAGCAGTTGGAATGTCAGAAAATAAAATTTTAAACTGTAATTACAGGTAAAAGTATCACATATTCAAATGATTTGTGGTTCATTGTTGAACAGCAATACAAGTTGCATATCTAGATATTACTCTCCATAAAATATGAAATTCAATCCTTTATTTTTTTTAAAATTCTCTGTTGCCAAACCTTTCTTGTTTAGCATTATGCCATTTTGGCATGCATGCAAGTGTTAAAAGATTGTAAAGCGATGTGGGTGGAGTTCAGCATTTCCATTTTTGGCAATCGGACAATGTAATCTGATTTACAAAAGGAATGTTTTGGCTAGAGAGCAGTCATTTTGGATTAAAAGAGGAAGGAAAGTTGAGGCAGAGGACGATTTATTTGGGCAGGCCGAAGTTTTCATTAAGGTCACTAGTGTTGCTACTGTGGTAGAAGACAAATGTGTTTTCTTGGCAGATTTTAAAGAGGAGAAAATGTCTTACTGAGGCGCTATTATAACAGTAGAAGTGCCTACAAGGGTGGTCTCTGTCTAAACTTCCTGTCTATATGTGCCAGCCTTTGGATGAGACATTAAAACTGAATCAGCCTGTTCAGGTAGACAGTACAGACAATATTTAGAACAAAAAGACATGCTGAACAACAATCATCCAGAATCAGAAAGTTGTGGGTTCAACTCTGATGTCAGGACTTTGAGCTGATATTATAGGTTAATACTCACAGTGCAATGCTGGGTCAGCACTGCATTGTCAGAAATGCCATCCATCCTTCAGATGAGACACTTAACTGAGGTCCTATCTGTCTGTGATAGATCAATGGAAGTTAAAGGTTCCTTGGCACCAGTCAAAAAGAGAAGGGAGATTCTCCTGATGTCTTGGCCAACAATCCCCCCCTTGCCCCATAAAATTAATAATTTCATGGCTGTTCGTGGGACATTGCTATGCGCAAATTAGATGCCATGTTCGCCCGCAAATACCGTCAGTAACTCTACAGTAAATCATATTAAGTGCTCTGAGACGATTTGATGACATGATAAGTTGCTGTATCAAATTGTTTGTATTATAGAACAAAGGATTATTTGTATTACAGACCAGCTAACTGGTTTTACTTTCAGTGACCTGTATACACATCACCAACCACTGTGGAAGGTACTGACCCAAGTGATGTAATTACTGTTTGGAGTTTTAAAGCAACTACACATGTGCAAACTTGTTTTAAAATTTATCTGGCTGATGTAGATGTTTCCAGTAACATGGTCAGAGCAGTTTCCAAAGCAGCAGGAGTCTCAACCAATGTTGAACAAGTGTCACAGACAATGCACGGTTTTCCACTTTCCTGGTGGAAGTGGAGATTAATAGCCTCTGGTCTAATGCAGAAAATATAGTCACAAGCAAAAATAATTTTCCTGAAATCTTTTAGAAGTTGAAGCCACACATTATGTTGACATTTCTAGTTTCCTCACATATTTTGGCCAACAAATCAATCAATGTGCTGCCACTAGATGACAAAGGAGCTGCTGGATTCTCTCTCAGACAGTTGTAAATGGTTGTTGCTGAAATTTATTCCACTGTAGAGATACAATTACAAAATCAACCTCATGTACAATCAACTTATTTATTTTGATCTCCATTTTCTCTCTCTGTCTCTTCCTATCCCTTCCCCCCCCCCCCCCCCACTGAATACTATTTTTTAACTGAATACTATTTTACTTTGAATATAGGTAGAGCAGTTATTGGAGGGTTATGTTCAGGAAGTTGGGATCCAGGATGACCAGTTTTTGGAAGCTTGCAGCTCTCCGCTTGCACAATCTGAGTCGTTTCAGGTAAGGACAGAAATTCTCAAAGCCATGTTTGGGTTAGATTGTTTAGTCTCAATGTTACAATGCACTGCTCTTCACTTACTGTGCTGTGTCATACAAATGAGAAAGCTAATGAGTATGGTTCATGGTTGAAGCCTAGATAAGCATCCTTTTTTTGCGTTTCACCCACAAAATATACAGTCAGTTCACTTTAAAATATATTCTGTGAAACGTTTTGAGACGTCTCGAAGACATGATAATAATAATCCTTGCATTTGATATAGCGCCTTATCACGTCTCAAAGTGCTTCACAGAACAAACTGTAAAGTAAATTGACTGTATATTTTGCAGACGATACAGGGCAGCCAATGGTGTACAGCAGTGTCCCACAAATAGTCGTGGATTGAAGTGACCAATTTATTATTTTTTTTTGAAGGAATTATTACCCCCGGAAAAGCGATCCACCAATCAACTAATGACCAGGTTCCTACTTACTGCTAGGCAAACAGAGGCGTGTGGAGGAAGGAAATTTGCCCAACATTTTGCCCTACCGGGAATCAAACCCAGGTCTCTTGCTTGCGAGGCGAGCGCTCTAACCACTGAGCTGCAGCACTCCATGATAAGGCACTATAGCAAATGCAAGGGTTACTATTATTATTATTATTATAAACAGCTTGCTTGTGAGAGCAGACGATTGGTAAGCAACCAAGCAATCTGGCAGTTTTCATTTAGCCAAATCTTCTTATGTACCTGGAGAATTCTCATTTGGAAGCCTTCCAGAACATCACCTGTTTGTTGGGGTCACATTCAAAATAATTGCTTTCTTCACATGGGGAAACCAATTGAAAAACGTTTATGTTAGATGCAGCTTTACAGCCAAAACGGCCTCTGTGGTTCGGTCGTACAGCAGCAGTGACATTTTGTAACAGGTTGCGCATGTTGACAAAGTAGTCTTTTAAAAGTAGTTCTCTATCTTAAATGATGCAATTGTATATCCACAGACCGAAACCAGAGGCAAATGTTTTGGTGGGTGTTGAATTACAACAATTATGATAGATGTATTCCTCAATGGTTGGGAGCACATCTGGGGAACAGATGGGGACAGCATATCTAATGACATCCTAACAATCTGGAATTGAGGCAAAGCCAGGGAAACACTTCCTGCCTTTGTTCAGAGTTCAACCAGTTCTGCTCAACACAAAGTAATTAAATCACTAGTGAGGGATGAAGCTCTGATATACAGGGGATGAGCAGTACTTCATAGGTTTCTGAATAGTACCCAACAGCCGAACAAATGTTGAACTACAATATGATCCTTTAACAACCCCCTCCACCACCAACAAGAAATTAGGGGAAAAACAACATATTGAACCATATCCTGGTGCAAGGACAAATAAGTTTGATGCTTTCAGGAGAGGGGAACGAGGAAGCAAACAAACTCCCCAAAGAAAAAAGACGTTAAGCATTAACTAGCTTTCAGGTGAGGTTTGAATATTGAAAGGGATTGTAACCTTACGAGGTAACAACTGCAGCTAACTGATTTTATAGTCAACATTAAGACAGCAATATTTTCTTTGCAACATTGGAAAATAAATATGATTTGGAAAGATTCCGCTGACGTTACTCAATGGGAGGGACATGTGCTAGTGTGGCTCCATTTGTTTCAATGGAGTGGGCGCGTAGCACTGGCCGGGGAATTAATACCGCTTGACGTAGGAAACCAGGGTATTGGCAGATATTAATCTTGGTTTTATTGCATGCTTTCTGATATTGTCCTGAAGTCGGGAGACTCAGGAAAGTATTTTATCTGTTCAGTTGAATAATAACGTCATGTTTGTTTGCCTGTCAGTTACAACCTTGGAAGCGGAGGTTCTGCATGTGTGTTAAATCTAACCATTGATTTAGTTGCGCAAAACATGACAGTGACCAATGAATGTACGTCCTGACATGTGCACCTAATCTGTCAAAATTAACAGTGTTATTGTTTTAAACACTGTCAAATCCTACTACACCACAGGGTTGTTATATCAAATAATCCATATGTGATCTGCAGAATACAGAATCCACATGATGTTCATTTGGATCAGAAAATATTGATTTGCACGGTGGGTTGTGAAAATGTGAAATGCACTGTCCCAGAAGGGTACGGAGGTAGAATCAGTTAGCACGTTTAAAAAGAAGATACAATACTTGGTATGTAAGTAATTATAATAAATAATGATAATAATTCTTGCAATTGGTACCACACCTTTTTTTACCAGGAGGATGTCTCAAAGCGCTTTACAGGATTCACTGTGAAGTGTAGAATAGAGAAGAGGTGGGGAAACGAAACTTAAAAAATCTGATCTGATAAACCTCTGGAGCAGCTCAGCATGCTGAAGGAATCCCTTGTGTTTTTCTGATTTTAATCTGCTTTAGTCAGATGTCGAATAATTATCCTTAAAAGAAACTTAATGTCTGAGTGTTCGTTTTAAACTGCGCGTTGACTTCAGGAAACATCATAGCAATAAATGTGTGCTGAGGGAAGCATTTGGGGGAAAAAAAAGTCATAGTTGTACCCTGCAATGATGGTGCAACAGCTGCTAGTAATCTTACCATTTTGAATGTAAGTGTCTGGTTCAGGTTTCAACCACAACTGTAAAAACTAGTTCAAAAATTCTTTTTTTAAAAAAAAATCTAGAAGTTGCTGAAATAACTTTCAATGATTCCGTTTTGAAGTGCACACTTTTCTTGGGTAAATGCTCTCTATTACCATTTTAACTCTTTTGATCACTGGTCCACGTGTATAATGTTTATTATACTCCCATTTTCGCAGTGAACTTTGACATTTTGTTTTTGTATGTTATTATTCATTTCAAATGCTACTAGTAACAATTTAATAGGAAATGAATCATGACCTGTGTACTCTCATTGCAATTACTATCATTTTTATAGTGTTCACATTCATCACTCTGTGCATCTAAGTCTCAGGATTTGAGACTCACAAGGTCCTTTGTGCATTACTTTCCATTAATGTTCTCAATAGATGGAGTGACATACATTTTTTAGTGTAGACTTCAAAGCAACCACTTTTAATCTGAAGATTGGATCATGCTTTACAGCTAAAACCAAAATTACATTTCAATACAGTACCCACTGTGCAGCTGAATGAAAGAATAATATTGTTGTTTAAAAATGAGCTTTAAACCACTCAAACCTTGGATACTTTGAAAAAGAGACAAGTATATGATCTATTTTAAAACATCCGGGATGTATAATGATTTCCACCTTTCTTTCAATACTGGACAAACATACTCCATACCCTTGTAAGAATTCAAAGAAATGCTATTTCATTCTTCTTAACTAGACTGAGGTTGATTGGCCGCATATGCAACTGCAAGGATGAGATCAAATAAGCTGACCCAAATCGATCTTATGAACAGTATTGAGTTGTGCACCTCCATCAGTGTTTTAATTAACATCTCATTATGAACCAGGCCATAGAGGATACTTGATAGAAATCGGAATGACACAGCATTTGACAGAAGCCAGAGTGATAAGAGTAATGATTTCATTTTCACTCACGTTTCTTTACAGATAAATTAAGATCCTACTATGTTCCTTCAATACATTTCTTTAGCTCAGTGTTGGAAGCAATTAATGATGCAAAATTTGGAATGAAAATGTTGCTTATTCCTTCCACTCATGTCCATGATAATTTACATTCAAGATCTTCCTGAACATATTGTGCTGGAGATAATAATAATAATCCTTGTATTTCATATAGCGCCTTATCATGTTGTTGAGACGTCTCAAAGTGCTTCACAGAATATATTATAAATAAATATAAATATTTAACATTTCATTATGAACCAAGCCATAAAGGATACTTATAGATATCAGAATGACATGGCATTTGACAGAAGCCCATGGGGACAAAAAAAAGGAATGTGCACATGTTACAGAAAAATACATTATTGCTTGGCATAACAAAAGACTTAATGCCAGCTTGAATAAGAATATATTTTAGGAAAAGTAAACCGAGCTGGGACTGTTTTAGAATGCAGTCTGTGTCTTTATAACATTATAATCAGTGTCTTTGATTCTTATATTTCAATTCTGCATTATAATGCTGAATAAAAATATGTAGGTTTTTTTGCATAAAATGTGTGGAAAAGTTAGATAAAGATGTACTGATCTAAAATCATTTGTTCTCTGACATTGTGAATGAGTTTGCTTAATGCTGTCGGACTGTGGTTAAAGTAGCTCCATCCAGTGTCAGCAAATGGGTATTACAGCACTTCAATTTGTTGCATTGGTTTCATGGGTATTTGCTTCCATTATTTGTCCTCATCTTACCCCTACTCTCCTTATTGTGATAAGAGGCACACTGGAGTATAATTTCATAGGCACTCACAGACTTTTTTTTGTACATACCCAAGTGGCAATTCTTGTATCAACCTCTTAACCAGGAAATTGTGGACATAACCACAATTAAGAAAAAAACAGGTAAACAACAGACAAAAGAAAAAGTAAACAGAAGACAAAATACCAAATGGTAGGAAATTATTTTTGACCGGTATGAGATAACTTTCACATTTCTGTAGCTTTAGATTTATGTATTACAGCAATCGTGCTCCTTTCATGCAATTCATTTAGTGTTGGAGGAGAGTCAAAATATTTGGTTACAGAAGGAAAAATTAAAACCATAGTAGATGAAAGCAATGAGAGGCTTTTCTCTCACTGCTTGAATTTGATTTTTCCACATAATATTATGGGACGTATGAAGGTACGGCAGTGACTTAGCTATTGGAGTCCTGTAGCTCAGTGGATAGAGCACTCGCTTTGCAAGCGAGAGACCTGAGTTCAATTCCAGGCAGAGGGCGAAACCTTGGGCAAGTTTCCTTACTCCACACAGAGCCTAATAATAATCCCTCCAAAACCCAAAACAATAATAAATTGGTCATTTTCAATCTACGACTGTTTGTGGGACATTGCTATGCGCAATTGGCTGCCGCGTTCGCCCACAAATATATAGTCAGTTCACTTTACAGTGTGTTCTGTGAAGCGCTTTGGGACGTCCTCCCGACATGAAAAGCGCTATATCAAATGCAAGGATTATTATTATTATTAGCTATTGAGTGTAGAGGATCACAAAAGGTATTTCTTTTGAAATTATTTTCTAATTTGGTATTTCTTTGATTGATTGTATGAAACTCTTTTGAAGAGAATGCTTTATGGTGTAAATTGTTGACATGGTCACATCTATTCTATAATGTGGTGTGAAGGTATTCTGTAAAGTATGCTACTAAATAATTTTATTAAGCATGTCGCTGTTGGGCCTTAACTTGGCTTGTGCCTTGTGTCTGAGTAGTAATATTGTTAACTTAATTATTTTTGTTTTAAAAGCCTGTGTTCCAACCAGTATTAGCTGCAGAAGATTTTCAAGTGTTCAAATCAATGATGGTACAGAAGAACGTTGAACTACAATTGCAAGCTCTTCGAATGATCCAAGAGCGAAATGGTAATAAAATAAATATGGTCTTCTGGTAAATAACACTGTTGATATGAACAGCTGTAAAAGAAAGTTTCAAATTGCATTGTTTTGATTGTTTTAAACCCTCTATTTTAAGTAGTTTGTTTTTACTGAAAACCATGTTTGGTAAAAGAATGGCAGGAATTCATAGCATAATATGCAACATTTATAGATCTTAAACCATTCCTACAGTTTAATATTGGGTGTTGGCAGAAAACCTATTTGTGAATTATGTTTAAAATCTGGAGTAGGTGATATTTGGATAGGGTACAAATCTGATCCTGGATTATTAGACGTTGGCGTCAGTCCTGTACTGCTCCTAAAAATAGCATTATTTCTGTTCCTTTCTTAGAATTAGGTTTCCATTTATAAATATGTTTTGAAAATTGATATTTTTAGCAATTGGCACAAGATGGACAGCATTATAGGCCTGAAACCCCACCTGAGAAAGAGTAAGATTGTGCAGAATCATGAAAAATTCTTAAATTTGGTCTAAATTTAGAAGCTTGTTTTCCGCTGTACATTTTTTCTTTTTTCAGGCTCTGGCAGCATCAAGCTCCATGGTTGCATACTACAACTCACCAAGCCAGTCAGGATCCTAGGTGTCTTGTTCGACCCTCAACTATCTTTTCTTCCCCACATCCAAGCCATGACCCGCTCTGCCTTCCCTCACCTCCGTAACATTGCCCGACTCCGCCACTACCTCACCCCTCAGGCCACTGAAAATCTTGTTCATACCTTCATCACCTCCAGGCTCAACTATGCAAACGCCCTGCTTGTCGGCATTCCCAACAGGCTGCAGATAATCCAGAACTCTGCAGCCCGTGTCCTCTCCCGCGACATCTCCCCCACTCTTGCCCGACTCCATTGGCTTCCTATCCTTCAGGGGATCCCGTTCAAGATCCTGGTCCTCCATGGCCTCACCCCACCCTACCTCTGCGACCTCTTAACCCCCTACCAACCCACCCGCTCCCTCCGTTCAGCCAGCTCCAGCCTGCTCCACGTCCCCCGCCCCACCATTGGCAGGAGAGCCTTCAGCCACTCTGCCCCCAACCTCTGGAATTCCATCCCCCAGTCACTCCGCCTCTCCCCCTCCTTAGCCTCCTTCAAGCCCCGCCTCAAGACCCTCCTCCTCGACCATGCAATCAGCCACCCCCCTTCCCCTCCCCTCCCTTCTCCGCCCCTGACCCCAGCTCGGGTCTGAAATGCTCCAGCGCCTTGGGACATCCTCCCGACGTGAAAGGTGCTACACAAATGTAATCTTGTTGTTCTTAAAAAGAACTTCACAATAATTGGGCCTTAAGACCTCATGGAATTTGGAATTTGATTAGAACATTTTCCATTCATAGGTTTATGGCAACTGTTTATTTACAGGTTTTATTTTACACATTCTTCCCCAATGTTTTCATACTTTATAAAAGGGCATATAGTTTCTTGGTCTCTGATTCTTTTTCATAACACATCAAATCAACATATTAGATACAATACAAGTGTCAAGGTATGTGAGCAGAGTGGAATTACATGCAAACATTTGAATGATAGGTTGGAGAAAATATATGAAAAGCATGAAACAGAAAAAGGTATTTGAAGTGGAATAATTGCCCTCAACTTCTACAAAGAAATAGAGTGGATTACCATGTACCTTAGTAACATAATTTAATGTTTTTGTTCTTTTGAAGAATAAACAATTGCAGGCTGTTAGTCAAAACTGGTGGAATTAATGTGTTATGCTAACCAGGAGATGTCTATTTTCTCTTACTGGGCATTTTTGTGTAAAATACCTTGTCAGTTGATGCCGAAGATGAGCCGTCAACCGGCAGATCAATTGTGCCAAGGGATTAATTAGCACCTTATATCAGAATCTCATTTTAGAAACATGCAGAAATTCTCACAGCTCATTATTTCAGTTGCTTTGCAGAGATAGATTCCACATAGTGGATGGAAATGTGCTTATCTGTGAAATTGACCACCCAATACTTTTGGAGTGATGAGACGTTTGCTAATAAAGTAGACAGGTCAAGTGGTGATCAGCAATTCTTTCTGAAGACTGATACTTTTAAATTGATGTAAGCATTGATTGAATGATAAGTTGGATGCTGAAACTCAATTGCTCATTAGAATTGCAGCTAGAACAACTCAAACTGACATGGGCATAGTTAAAAACAACAAAAAAAAGCTTTTCTAGAACTGCCAATGAATTAGAACCAAATGTAAAATGTATTACAAAAGTCAGAAATTATTAGCATTGCAGCGATAACAAAACTACAAATAGGTAGTTTAAATCCCATCAAATAAAAGCTGATGCCCTATGAATCAGAAATATATTGAGTTGAGCATCAAAATTTTAGATACTCCAAAACCTTTGCTTTTAAATTTGCAATCTAATATATAACAATATAATATTACCCAAGCTATTTCAGTAATTAAATAACTACTTACTGGGTGGCAATCAAAGAAACTGGAGAGACTAATCATACATACAGAACTCTAAAATGAAGTCAAATGATTTTATATCACACAATGGACTGAAAGAGATTGTATTAATTTATAGGTTGAGGTTTGTTAATTCAATACACCAATAATTTGTGTACCAACAAATTATGATTTTACCAATCAATATACCAGTAACAATGATTGAAGGGTAACCATGATGCTGCGATGGAGAGTCATGCAGCTTCTGAACACTGGTTCACTTCTGGTCAGTGCTGACTTTGTGGGTCTCAACTAGGGGGAGCACAGGGAGGCTAAATTGGCCGCAGAGCAGGAAACCAGTAAGGATTTCTGCTTCTGATCCCTTTTTCGCACCCTCTAATGGTAGTGCATGTGTGTGGCAGCTGGCTAGGAAGATGCCAGGCTTGGGTGTGACGTCCTCGACAGTTGAATGGCCTGCAGACGATCATTGCCAAGGTTCACATGTGAACAGTGGCCACTTAGGCTGGGTACTGGAGAGCAACCACACCTCAGCAAGAGGAGGCCAGATAGGCATTTGCCACTGGAGGAACAAAAACAGAAAAATAATTCAACACACTAAATTTTACAAAAATGCTTGACAAGTTTCTTATTTGGGGAAAAACAGAATACCAAACTAAATTTTATCCAGCCTATTAAACTAAGCTTAACCTAGAATATTTTATGTACAAATATGTTTATGAACCAGGATGGAATTACCTTGATCACACATTTAATAAACGACTTGCCTTTCAGATAAATCTTCATCAAGCCAAACTCTTGACACAGTGGGATACTTTTGGAAGTGTAGTAACTGTTATGTAGCCAACATGACACCTAGATTTTTTTAAAACTGGACAATAATGAGAAAATATCAGTATAATTCAGCACAGGAACATTGTTATTATTGCATACATAATACTTTTTGCATTTATTATAACTCATGAAACATCATATAACATATGAAAACATCTCAAAGCACTTTACAGGGTTTACTGTAATGTGTAATGACTGTATATTTGTAGTTGTACAGCATTATCCAATAAACAACTATGAAAGAAATGACCAATTTTATCTAACCAAGATGCTGGAAAAATATCCTGGGATGTCATGGGATATTTAACAAGAACCTGCACAGATAGACAGAACCTTGGTTCAGTGTCTCATTTGGTGTATCGTCTGAACAATGTGGTGTGTGGGGGGGGGGGGCTATCGTTCAACTGGCTCCAAGGTGACATGCCTGACGATGGAATGTCGGAATTGAGCCCTCCGTGGCAGTCTCAGTGGTCTGGCTCCTGAGCCAGGCGGGTCTGCAATATTCCAGGGCACTGCTGATGACAGCACAGCCAGCCTGGTTCAATGGCAGGACCTGGAAGGGCAGACCAGTCACTGGGAAAGTGTGCCGGACAGCAATATCAATGGCAAGCTATGCGGTTTTAGCTGGTTAGATTTCAGCAGTACCCCAACGCACATTCTGGGGTCCCCAAGCTCTGACTCTTGCCAACCTGCTCCTAATACTTTCTGGAATTAGGTAAGCAGGATGCTCCCTCCAGGGAGAATATGCATTCCATTCCAACAATCTATCTCTGTGATTTCCATGTCCAGGTGGATGCATGGAAATCTCAGCTTGGTTTGGATACTCTTAAGCTTGGTGACGGGTTTCCACAGGTGTCAGACTCCCGGCTGACCCCTCAAAAAATTAAGAAGGCAGTGTTAGCCATTCACTAATTGACTGTAAAAAGATTTGTATTTTTCTTCCCTTGGCAGGAGTTCTACCTGAATGTTTGACAGATGGCAAGGACAAAACCAGCGAATTGGAACAACAGGAGATGAAAATTTTAAGAGAGGTGCTAAAGTGAGTCAGTTACATTGCATTCTCGCTCACCTTTTAGTATTCATTGGTTCAATTAGTGAAATACAATGTATTAATCTAATATATAATTGTTGGGGTGGAGTGTACATTGTCACTGGTCCACGCCTTTATTACCTCAAGACTGGACTACGGGAACTCCTCGCCGGCCTTCCCGGCACCTCCCTCCACAAGCTGCAGGTCATTCAGAACTCTGCAGCTCGTGTACTGTCCCGCACCAGGCTTCGCGACCACATCACTCCCACCCTCGCTCGCCTCCACTGGCTCCCCATCCCCCAGAGGATCGAATTCAAGATCCTCATCCTCACCTACAAGGCCATTCACGGCCTTGCACCCTCCTACCTCTCCAACCTACTATCCCCCTACTTACCTGCCCATACCCTCCGTTCCTCTGGCTCCGGTCTGCTCCACATCCCCCGCCCTAACCGCCCTACCATCGGTGGCCGGGCCTTCAGCCTCTCAGCCCCTAGGCTCTGGAACTCCATCCCCCAGTGCCTTTGCCTTGCTTCCTCCCTTTCCTCCTTCAAGGCTGGTCTCAAGACCTTTCTCTTCAACCGTGCCTTCAGCTCCCCTCTCGACTCTACTCGCTCCCTCCTTTCCCTCCCCTCACCCTGACTATTTCCCCCCTGCTCGGGTCCCGACCCAACTGTCCAGCACCTTGGGACGTCCTCCCGACGTGAAAGGTGCTCTATAAATGCAATCATGTTGTTAATGTTGTTGTTTCAATTGGGTTTGATGCAGCCAGCTCATGTGATGAAAGTTTTCCCTGCTGTTGAATTTGTATCTTATGTGAAATATACTTTTAACTCTGTTTCTGCTGGTTCACATAAACCTAAGGTTCACTAATAAGTGAACCTATTCAGGACCAAAATTGGTGATTTGGGAAAAGGAAATATTGTTGCTTACAAACTAGAAGGTATTCATCGGGTTTAAGTCACAATTAGGTAGAAAATCCGTCGGGATCTAGTTTTACTGTACTGATGTAATGTTTCGGAATGTCCAGAATTTGTCAAATGCGACATTAAGCAAGTAAATCTAGACCCAGGTAAAAGTTATCCCAATTGTTGAGCTGAGTATTTGAGTTTTAAGAGCCTTGGGGATGATGGGAGGGCTGGGAAAGAACACAATACAGTATGAGATGGTACACTCCTCGATTTGGAGTTCAGTACAGATACAGTGAGGCAAACATTGTGTAAGGGGCTGGTGCAGTGCATTTGGAGCCTCTACCGGGTTGAAAATAATTTAAGGCTTGAGGAATCCTACAACAAAAGGCGCATAATCTATGTTTTTCTTCTGGAAACACTGAGCATTATTTCCTCCTCTTGCCCACCTCAGACGGTCAAAAGAAGAGTATGAACGTGAGGTATTTAGGAGACATACAGAAGATTTGGGAGAAGGAGCTGGATCAAATATAGGACCAAGAAGTGATGTGGAGAAGGCCATTTTGGAGAACTCGCGGCAAGAGGAAGCTCGTCTTGCCAGGCAAAATCAACAAGGAAAAGAGAATCTGCAACGGGTAATAAACATGTATTTTGTGATACATTAGAGGGTATGAGTCTAGCACTCCTCACATACCTGCTTCACACATATATTGTTAGTTAAACCAGTTAAAATATGGTTTCCAATTTTGGTCATGCTATTTTAAAAAGGATGTCAGGAACATAATTAGCATTTACTATGAATGTTTTGACAATGAGCAAAGGAACTAGGCCTATTTTCACTGGAACAGAGAAGCTTGATAGAGGTCTTTTAAGGGGGTTAATAGAGGAGACTCTATGTCCACTGGTCACTTTCAATGCAAGAGCATCAATTTAAGGTAATTACCAAAGGAGCAAAGGGGGATATTAGGACGATTCTTTTTAAACATAAGGTTATTAAGATGTGGAATGCAGTGATTGGAGCAGTTTTTATGGTGCACTGGTACCCTTGAGGGGGGAGAAGGAAGAGGAACTCTTCCCTGAGCTCGGAGGGTGGGGGGAAGATCATTTTGTTGTTTATTTACATCAGTTACAAGCCCATCGCCAAGTGAAAGCAGTTGCCCCCTATTGCTAAGCATACCTTGTATATGTAGCCGCCCCCAAACACTATGATCAGTGACTTCCTGGATTTTGTGTCACATTGTGACAAATCCAATGAGAAAGAAACTGCTGATTGGCCGATCAATAAGAAAAAATAGTGATGTGACTGGTGCTTTTCAGTGCAGTTAAAGTGATAAGGTTTTAATAACATACCAACTTTTTTACAGGCTGTTCAGAATTCATTACAAAAGAGAGCATCAGCGAGAGAAGATGTAGTTGCATCCACAAGTAACCTTGATGAGGTAGTAGTTGAATTTGACAGATTCTTAGTTTGTGTCATGTGGTCGTAATTAACTCCTAAAATGGTGCAATTAAGACAATAATGGGTTAGTGTAAAAAAATATTCAGACACTTCTCAAAAAGGGAATGAAGTTTTTTTTTGGCATAAGAGAGTAATTCTGTAATGAACTAGGATGGATTTTAGCGAATGGGAGGAACCTGAATTGAATGATGATAGCGACATTGTCACAGAAGAGAACAGAAAGTATGGGTTAGATTATTCAAGTTAGTTTAAAAATCGTTACCTTGCATTATCCAAAATGTCAGATTGACAGCACCCACTGTTTCAGATATCTGTAAAAGATATTTAGCAATAACACATTGACATTAACATTGCCCAATGCTTGTAGAGTACGTCGTTCTGACACTTTTCATGGCACAATTACTGAGTCGTGAATATTTAGACATAGTTTTAACCTTGTAGTGCATCTACTATCATGGCTGAGAACAACCAACTCAATACCATCAAGCCATCAAAGGAAGCGGTGGGATTCACAGTTGCCAAGCCAATGCCATATCTAAACAACAAATGGCTCACTGGAAACCTCTATTAAACCTCAACTGGGTTAGCGCCTCCTCAGCCTGTCATCACCAGCCTGTGCGAGTGTGTGTGTGATTGTATGTGTGTGTGTGTAAGTGTGATCGCAGGTGTGTGTGACTGTGATTCCTGTAGCTCAGTGGTTAGAGCACTCGCCTTGCAAGCGAGCCACTTCAATTCCAGGCAGGGTGAAACCTTGGGCAAATTTCCTTACTCAACATTACACATGCCTTATGCTTCAATTCCTTGCTAATCTAGTCATTCACAAACTAGGAGTTGGAGGTGGTCTATCAGTATCAAGTTTGTAGTTTTGGACTACAGTTTCCTATCTGCTTGTGAATGAGCCGATATTGTGCAAGTGCATATCATTTAGAATTCTTGAACAAAATGTTAATAGTGAAGTGATTCATGTTATTCATTTACTTAGTGTTCTTAATCTTTCAACCAGATCACTTTGCGTTCGTGTATTGTTGTCTGTTGCCACTTATGGGTGTTTTGTTTTATATCATAGGCAAGTTAGAGGGAAAATGTTCACAAAGTTTGTGGGTTATCACAAAAATAGCTTCATTTCCTGGATTTTTTTTCCATTTCCTCCCTTTCGCTGTGGGAAAATAACCTGGCTTCCAAACAGCACATTTCCACAATGGTGCACTTGATATTAACAGCTCAGAGAAGTTGCAGTCAAAGATGTAGTCTGCCACTCCTTAGCAATGAGGACTGGGAGTGTAGCTCAGTGGTTAGAGCGCTCGCTTTGCAAGTGAGAGACCTGAGTTCAATTCCAGGCAGGTCATGGCGAAATCTTGGGCAAGTTTCCTTACTCCACACAGAGCCTAATAATAATCCCTCCAAAACCAAAACATTAATAAATTGGTCATTTTCAATCTATGACTGTTTGTGGGACATTGCTGTGCGCAATTGGCTGCCGCGTTCGCCCACAAATATACAGTCAATTCACTTTACAGTGTGTTCTGTGAAGCGCTTTGGAACGTCCTCCCGACGTGGAAAGCGCTATATCAAATGCAAGGATTATTATTATTATTATTAATTCATTGCTCCCATTAGAGAGATGTTTTGGCTCACATTAAGTGACAGAAATCACATTAGGCATGTGTTATCAACATTTTTTATATTAAAAATTTGCACCAATTATTTACTCGTAAATTGAGAAATCGCTTGTCCATAATTCCCCCAAAATGTTATAGCATCACCAAATCATTGACCAGGTGTTCTTATTTATTAGCTATAAATACATGAACTCCCAGTTAAGCTTGAAAACATGTTTACAATGGATACTTTGAGTGATAACAATAGTATAATGTGAACTATAACACATCAACTTCCTTATTATGAAGTGTTTATATTGAAATACAGGTTAAGCAGAACAAACTCTGAAATTGTCTAAGGTGTTGACACTAGGATCTCACCTCCTTTGTTCTGCGTGGTGCACTCCAAGACACCAGTGGCAATACAAAAACAACTTTGCATATGTAAACTTGCATATGAAATATTGTCGCATATTTACAGTGTAAATATTGTCCCATTCAGCAATGTGCCAGCGGATATATTGCAATATAATTGAAGTGGCTTCTACCATGTCTCAAGGTGGAGCATTCCTCCTTTGGAGGCAATGGCACCTAAGATGCTATATTTTTNCTGACTGTTTCTATCGGAAACCACAACAAATTTCTCATGTTGCACACTAACCTAAAGACAACAACTTGCACTGATATAGCACCCTCCACGCAGAGTAGCGTCTTAGAGCGCTTAACAGTGGCGGAGGTTCCACAAAGAGGTACACAAGAAGAGCCCAGCAATGGCATTCCGTTGGATTTTCCCATCTTCATTGTGGTAAAGTCTTCACTCAATATCTATATATACGAGCACAGCTCAAGACAAAATTTAGTACCACTGGATAAGGAACAGATGGTACTGCCAGATTCTCTTGGGACTGATATCTCAAGTTACTCTGGTTGAATTTGATACACAAAATGTTGCTCTTTCCTCTTCCCCTTCACAGTGGCTACATCTAACATTAGTAATGAACTGCACCAAATTTAGAACTGGCAACTACAGCCAGACACATCAATGTGATGGTGAAATTATATACTAACCATTTCAGCAACTGATTTCGTACATAGAAATATAAAAGCACAAGTACAAGAGTAGGCCAATCAGCCCCTCGAGCCTGTTCCACAATTCTATAAAATCATGGCTGATCTGTATCTCAAGTTCAGTTACTTGCCCTGACCAAGGCTCTGTATAGTTGAAACATCATTTTGATCATTTTTTTGTACCTGTGAGCTTGTTTTTAGTGATTTGTGTACTTGGACACCCAAATCCATTTGCTCCTTCATGGTTCCCAGTTTCTCTCCATTTGGTTTTGTTCTTTTTGGATCCAAAGTGGATGACCTCACACATTGAATTTCATCTGCTACAGTTTTGCCCACTCACTTAATCTGTTTAAGTCCCTTTGTAATTTCCTGTCCCCATCTACACAATTTACTGTGCCTCCTAACTTTGTGTCATCTGAAAATTTTGATATAAAACTATTCCTTCATCCAAGTCATTTATTTATATATTATATACATAGTGAAAAGCTGAGGCCCCAGTACAGACCTTTGGGTAACACCACTCACGTCCCCCCAGAGAACGCTCCTTTTATCCCTACTCTGTTTTCTGGTTCCCAACCAATTTCCAATTCACTTCGCAAGGTTACATCCAATTCCACGCACTTCCATTTTTGCTAAAAACCTCTTCGGAACCTTATCAAATGCCTTCTGAAAGTCCACTTAGACAACATCCATAGACCTTCTCTTATCCACCATGTGTTAGTGAACTCCTCAAAAAATTTGATTTGTTAGACATGACCTACCCTTCAAATCCATGCTGACTCTCTTTTGATCAGCTCGTACTCTGTTCCACATGAGAGATTCTAGAAATAGAATTTCTACAATCTCTGAGCATACCTTATGGCCGTCCCTTGAATTAAAAATACTTAGAGAAAAACATATAAGAAGACAGGGTAAAGTTGAAACCTAATCAATTGTATGTATGTACACATAAAACAGTCCAGAAAGCTTATATGGGGTGAAGTAAAGTGTACCGAATAATGAAGCTGGTTGTATAAAGTATATACAATTTTAAATGGGTTGAAAAAGTAAACCAAGATCAATACTTTAGGATGCATCAAGAAAGCAGGGTTTCCAGGAAAGGTAGTAGAGGCCAAGACACTGAACTCATTTAAAAAGCTGCTTGATGGTGGGGATGGTAAGGTGGGTGTTATGGAGGGATGAGATCAGGTGGGCCTAAGGATCTTCTTCATCCAGACCAATCTTGTGATGATTTTTTTTTAATCAGTGTACTGAAAAGTTCATGAAACTCTCAGATAAGGTTCCAGATGCTGCGTCGTCCAATGCAACCGGAAAAAAAAGCATACTCAACAGGAGCAATGATCAACAAGCCAAAACTTTATTCCCAGGTAATTACAAAAAAACTATTTCTATAAAGGCAGTTAGACCTATTTGATTATCAAAGTGCATTTTTGAACTGATCATTGTAGTATTTTAATTCAATACTAGGGAGTTTAGAAAAGGAAGTTATGTAATAGTAAAGTCGCTGTATTTATATTTCACTGGTGAGGATGGAAAGAGAAACTTTTTGAGTTTAAACAAAACTAATACCGAATTGTGCTTCGTGGTCAGTCAATCAGTTTCAACATAGGACAAGTAGTTCTAACAAACGCTTGGTTTGTCAATGACTCAACAATCCAGAGCCTTCATTCCAGCAGCAAATCACTGTTGTATGTAATATTCATCAGGTTTTGCAGAATAAAACCTCACTTTGAAAACTTTTTAAACTTGTTTCAGTTACACATTTGATCTCAGGTACTGAAAATTAGTTTAGATTCCAACATGCACTCTGTATAGCACATTTCCAGGGAGGATATTCCAAAATTTCAAAGGGAAAATTTGAAACTTCTACTAATAAGTGCTGTATTTAGCAAAAGTTTTAAGCAAAATGGCAATCTAGTAGTTTTTTCCTACTATTTTTGATTATTATTTACTATTGTTTAATTTACTTATTAGGACGAAGTAACAGATCTTCCACGAAAGTATTGGGGCCAATCAGAGGCTCAGTGAAACATCCCATGCCTGCGGAACTAATCTCTGTAGAAAAGAACATAACCAATAATGAGGCAGCAGAGGCCTGGCTACAGCAAGCACAAAAGGAATCTGGAATTTCGGGTCCTATTACAGTAAGTGCATTAAACTGAAATAGGAAAGTCAGATAACTAGTGACTATTAATTCACTTGGTGTCTCTCCTCCACCCCCCATGACATCACATTTATAATCATTTAAAATGTAGTTAAATTATATTCTTCTTTCTATTACATTTACAGTGGATATTGAAATTATTCCTGAAAACTGGAAGGGAGGGGGAGCTTTCAACAGAAGTTGTGGCCAGAACCTCTTGACCTTTACTTGACTTTATCCTATGATATTTCCCGCCTCCCACAACCCTCCTTCCAGTTTCATTTCCAGATTTCACACCTGCGGTTTTCTTTTTTTTTCACAAATGAGTGCCATTTAATCATGCAGAAATAATGAGCTATAGAAGATGACTCCCATCAAAGATAAGAGGGTGTAAATATTTGAATTGCAAGAGACATTGAGAAATTGAATATATTCATTAAAAATTACACCAATGGAGTCATTTCCCTTCCTCCTACAATCCATGTTTTCAAAACCCAAACTTGTGGCAAGTTATTGTTACATTGTGAATTGTTTCTCAATTGAAAACAGCGACTTACTGGCTGAGAAGTAACTGAAAAATGTAACCATCCCAAGTGCCTAATATCTGCTGATTTGAAAATAAGGCACCATTTATTAATGCTAGTTTTCTTTACATTGGCAGGAACTTCCTGAGAATGAGAGAAAGCATCTTCATGAGCGAGCAACATATCTCAGAGATCAGCGGGACAAACTAGTTGCAATGAAGAAAGAACAGAGAGAGAAACAGTTACAGCAAAATGTAGAAAAATACAATCAACAAACCCCAATACAAGCCAAAGAGGTACTACTAATATATTATCTGCCAAAGAAGATTTTTTTTTAGAATAAGATTTTTTTTAGACAGACTGCAGCAGACTTTTACACGTTCAGGACCAAAGTAGTAAGAAGCACACTTGATCTTTCCTGCATAACTGATACATTAAATGGTTAATAATTAGTGTACAAGCTACTGGGATAACAGTATAAAATAGCTTTAGCTTGTCAAAGTTCTGCCAGGAATTTTTAAATCTGTTCATCTTTATTCACAGCTCCTTTAGAAAATATTATTGTTTTGAGAGCAAATGGGAATGTAGAAGATATAACATTTGATTTAGAATTGAAACTTAACTGTTCAATGTGAAACTTATCAACCGGGCTAATGAAATATAGGATGTGTCGCAAAGGCATTTTTATTATAAGATGAACATGGGTATTTTTTAATCTTACGCGAGCCTGTGTTTAGAAATTTATGAGCCCATTTTACATGGAAAGGAGGGGAGAGGGAGTAAAGGAGGCACTTAGTGAAAATAAGGTAGTTATCTGGAAGAAGAGCAATCTGAGTGAAGACACCTTTTTTTGTGACTCGATATTACGAAAGTTTGTCCAAACACCTCATAATGTCCAGCGACAGCAAGCATTAAGGCAGTTTCTTGGTCAGAGAATGGTTGTGTTGCAGGACAACCGAAAACAGGGGGAAAAATAAAATTGCAGTGGTGCAGAAGATAAATTATAAATGATTTGTGGTTCACTGAAAGATGAACCTCTGCCTCATATTTGAATCTGTGTTCAACCCTTATAGTGATAAATTCTGCTTGTGGCATTCCGTTGCTTCCTGCTCATCTACCATCTGTAGCACAATGTCTTTGTCCTCTCTGCTGGCTTCATTCTGCTTTATTATCTGTCAGTAATAGTAGTTGCAAAACTAATTTTAGTAGTGAGCTATTCAGGTCACTGAGCAGAGGATTCAGCTTCACATTTATCATTTCTGCAATGTGTGAATCACCTATGGGCTAAATTCCTCCAGAACCAAAAAATGTTTTCCTTCCACCGTTCACATGAATAGTTGCTACTTTAGGAAAACAAACCCTGTGTGTGCACCGCTAACTTTCCCAGATTTGAATTTATTTTTAAAATGCAATTTTTATGCTATTAAATGTCTTGCTCTTAAAATGTTTATGCTATTAAATGTCTTGCTCTTAAAATTTTGCTTGCAGCTCAACAGCTTATTTCTCACCTCCCTTTCCCCTACACATGAAGATATGGCATAAAGATATGGCAGGGTGAGAAAAATGACAGGCCATCTTGGGAGAAAAGAGATTAGTAACCAGGACATGGAATCCTGCAAAATAGCCCTGCCTGGAAACTCTTGCCTGAATAATGAAGACAACCCCCTATTTACCCTCATCCCTCTGATCACCCCCTCTGATGATGGAAAAAAATCTGTGCCCTTTTATAGAATTCAACATTTTAGTTTGATTTCCGAGCAGTTGCATGTTTTATGATTAACTTAAATACATTAAAAGAAAAAAATGCCTTTAGGAAAGGATTTTAAAACTGATTTTTAGGAGTTTAATGGTTAAATTTAAATCTTTGCTTACAAAATATGCAGTTACTACATCTTACAGTAAATCCTGTGAAGCATTTTGAGGTCATCGAAAATTATTAATTTGTTGGTAACCACCACTACTGCTCGGCTACTAGAAACAATTCAATTTTCTGTTGCTTAATTCATGCTATCTCTATTAAATTTGTCTGCAGCTATGTTGATATTCAAAGTAATGTCTTACTACTAAAAGACATCAAATAATCATAGTTGTTGCTTGAGAGTGATAGCTTTGCAAGAAGTGCCACATACATATTAAAGCTACTTTGCTTGCTCTGATTGGGACAGCTTAGTATACAATCTAAAGTCACCAGACCCAGGGAAACCCTCTCTCAGCTAAGTATATAGCAGCACCCAGGCAATACCATAGTTTTCTACAGCACTGGTAAGTACTCCAGTGTGCAGTTTTGCTATGATGCTTTATTGCAGGGCTTTACAAAAAGTTTTATATGGTGCCTTAGTATTTAATATGCCACTTTACTGTAGTCAAAACATCATAAAATGTTTGAAGTCTTATGACTGTTGTTCAGTAGGTAAACACAATTTATTTGTCTAACAATCGATTTTCGTGGTGGGGTGAAATATGGATGAAGGAGGAATATTGGTCTGAACACTGCAAGAACGCCCTTTTCATCTTCAAAATAAATCTTTGGGACAGTTAACATCCACCTGAACGGGCAGATGGAACCTCAATTTTATTTTGCATCCAAAAGGCAGCACTTAAATGCAAGGATTATTATTAGGCAACATATCTCGTGTTAGCCTGGCTTAATTTGTAACACTCTTGCCTTTGATTCAGAAAGTTGTGGTGTCCTAGCAATCTCTTCCCATCCGATCGCCCAACAGCCACTTTGTACATGAGCAGTGTCCTACAAGGAACAGTGAATGACCAATTTTATCTTGGAATTCACTTGTCAAGTGTTTTAATTGTCTCTATGGCTGACACACTCTTTTCCTCCCCGCCGCCCCACTTTTGTGCTGACATTTCCTTCTCTGCTTGTACCCTTACCTGCAACTCTTCAATCTGCATAGTCTGAAATGAGATTTACGTCAATTGACTGTTTTTACTTCCTGAGACAATTGTATTGTCCCGACTAAACCTGCTCAAAGGTAGAAAAATACTTCTGATTTAGAAAAACAAATTAATTATATTTCAGAGCATCACTTTTAAGGCCATCAATGGCCTTGCCCTCCCCTACCTCTCTGACCTGCTGACTCCCTACCAACCTGCCCGTTCTCTCCATTCAGCGAGCTCCAGCCTGCTCCATGTCTCCCGCTCAACCTGCCCTTCCATCGATGGCCGGGCTTTCAGCCTTTCTGCCCCCACACTCTGGAACTCCATCCCACGGTCCCTTCGCCTCGCTTCCTCCCTTACCTCCTTCAAGGTTGGTCTCAAGACCCTTCTCTTCGACTGTGCCTTTGGTCGCCCTCCCTCCTCTCTGCCTTCCCTCAGCCCTACACCACCCCTCCCCCATCCTCGGGCCCCGACACCTGACTGTTCAGCGCTTTGGGACGTCCTCCCGACATGAAAGGTGCTCTATAAATGTAACTTTGTTGTTGTTTGAGAGCACTTAGGGATTTGTTTAAACAAAAGATTTCTAAGAGTGCTGTAACAAACGGTTGAAAGACTTAACAACTCATCGTATTAGTTTGTAATTTATTTGACCTTTTTGCATTCATTTTACTGCCTGCCTGTTTGCTTGCATCTTGTTATTGTCAATCTGCATTTCATCTGATTTGTTTCGATTTTTTTTGCATTTCCTTTCATGCTGCCAGAATGGAGCTACTAACATTTCTAGCTGTATAGAAAATGATATACAACTAGAAGACGCCCAAAACACAACAGATGTGTTGAACACATCCATAGTAGACAGTTTGAGGTGATCTAACCCTGTCCAGTCTATTTTTATTTCCTTTTCAGTGTCATCTTATTCTAGTCTATTTTCTATTGCATGTATGACGTATCCTGTACAGTGGTTGATGAGTAAGATTGTGGAATCATAGTAATATATTAATAATCCTTGGATTTGATATAGCGTCTTACCACATCTTTGCGATGTCTCAAAGCGCTTCACAGAATATACTGTAAAATGAATTGACTATATAACATTTGTTTACATGTAAACCATTGGACGATTGTAGACTAGTCTGGTAATATCACTCAAGTAAAATTTAAGCAAACGGATATGCAGGTTATTTTGTTCACGAAAGTGTAAGTATTATTCTAAAGCAGATGACCAGACATGCATGTATACTTTTAAATTGTGAAATTATATTTGATCAAAAATGCACTGCTTTTATTAACCTTAAATATTCTGGATCAGATCGCTTGCTATATACATCTTTCACATTGACTGCCCACTGGAAGGTTACAAGTTTGAGATCCAAGACTCCTTTCGTTAAAACTGACTTGTCTTTGGTGAATATTCTCAGTCCTCAGTCAAAAAATGAAATGAAATTGTGCTTTGTAACAGCGAGGAAATGCCACTGCTCATTTTCCCTTCCCCAACAGTCTCCTGCCAGAGCATCAATGACTGCACAGGACTATGTCTGGCGACTGAAAACTAAAGCAGAAGAATTTTAAAAAATTACATCATGAGAAAACTACTATGTGACTGTCTACTGAAAAAGCAATTCAGTGTTTTTTTTATAAATGATATGATGTTGCAACCACTCCTAAGCTAGCCAAAAGTCTGGAATGTAAAACTATCCTTAGCAAATGTTGAGACATTATTTTAATGGTCCAGAAAATAAGATGAAGCATAGCTACTTATTTTTTTATTCCCCATTTTTCTAGATGAAACAAGTGTCCGAGGAAGAAAAGCAGAAAATTCAGAAAAGGAAACATTTGGCAGAAAAACTTAAACAGGAAGTAATCAAAAAATAAAGGCGTGACTGGATTTAAAGCTGAAGGAATTTAAAACATGACCTTTGATTTACTAGAGACCTTTGGAATACAGTGTTTGCTTCCCCCCCACCCCAAATGAATACCAGAATAGCTCTACAGTAACTAGTGATAGCTGGCAGAGGATAATGAACCCCTACAGTACTATGCTCCAACATACAGGAACTTCCAGCCTGTAAAAGCAGAATTCAATTCTATACAACTTAGAATGCTAATCGGTGTTTGTATTCTTGTCGAGTGCAATGTTATGAAGTAGTAACCATTGTTGCCTGTAAAACACTGAAAGTAATAGCCAACTAATTATTTCTGGTACACTTGTGCAATAAACTGGTTTGTTACAGATGCTTATGATCTAGTTTAGTGCTGAGATGCGGATGATATAAATAACAATATAAAATGGGGTTTAACTTGTATCCAATATTTTACTTATGGAATGGATCATAGATAGATTCACACAAAGTATTCTGGTGTGGAAATGAAGTGCCCCTAATTTGGAGGTCAATTGTTTCTTTTAAATAATTTTAAACTCAAAAGATAAAGCCACCGCTCAACTTGATTACTTTAAATGTTTGGGGGGCAGAAACTTGACACCCCTGTTTTCTTTAAAACAGACTCCTTTTCTTTTGTGGGATAAATATTAGTTGTAGTTGAAACTAATTTCAATATGATTGGGAGCAAGAGCATTTTCAGTTAAATATTCTAAACATTTCAGGGATCAAACTGGTCCAAGTCTACCGATTGTTGCCCTAAGAATTTTAATCACACAAGTCATTTCCAACCGCCTTATAACTTACAATTTGCATTTTTATAGCGACCTTCCAAGTGGTATGGCGTCTCAAGAGCATATAACCCTGCTCAACCATTATGGCCAATTATACACCCCAAACCTCTCTGAATACCTCCCACCTGTCTTTCAAGTCTGACACAAAACCTACTTCTTCGCCTGTGCCTATTGTCATCCCTCTTTTCAGCTTCCTCGCTTCTATTGTAAAGTACTCCAAGATGTTATCCTACATGAAGGACGCTGTATAAATACAAAGTTGTTCTAAGTGGGTTGGAGAAAGCAAAGAAAAACGTGTCAGCAACATTCACAATAGCATTGTGGATGCAACATGCTCCCATATCCAGGACTGCAAGTTAAAGCATTAATGTAGTTCATTTCCAATAAGTCATATTATTATACATAGAATCTTTCATGTTGGGACAACATCCCAAGACCCCAGACTTTTAACTTTTTAAATATCAATTAAACAAGGTAGTTTTAAGTCTTTAAGACTTCCTTAAGGATAAACAGAACAAGTGCTTAGGGTTTATTTGTAAACCGCCTTCATTCTATGACTGCAGTCCCTCCAAAAACAATAATAAATTGGTCATTTTCAATCTACTACTGTTTGTGGGACATTGCTGTGCGCAATTGGCTGCCGCGTTCGCCCACAAATATACAGTCAATTCACTTTACAGTGTGTTCTGTGAAGCGCTTTGGGACGTCCTCCCGACGTGAAAAGCGCTATATCAAATGCAAGGATTATTATAATCATCATTTTTTTTACACAATACTTCAGCCTGACATTTGCTCGGTTTCTCGTTTAATGGCTTAAAGCAGAACACAAGAAAGGGCTTTGGTGCAGATTAAAAACAGAAATATTAGATTTTTTAAAAAACTTTTTTTGTTAATACTTCCATACATTGAGGTGGAACAGCTAAGTTTGCAATAAATGCCAATATCAAGGTTGACAAACTGAAGTGGAAAGTGTGGAAAGGAAACGACAATATCTGAGCTCAGGCTTTGCACTTACCTTCCAATGCGAATATCACAAATATAATCAGAAACTGGGCACCTGGTTCACTTCTAACAGTATACAACCAGCACCATGCAATTTAATTTCCTGAAGGAGATGAGACGAATGACCAATTGTAAAAACATCCAATTGAAGAGAACTGAGCATTTCTCCTGGATAAACTTTACAAGTTCTGAAACTGCAAATCAACCCTGACCAGTTACATTCTCCAGATAATACACCTTTGGTCCCAGGACTGAAGCCAGAGTTACCGGCATGGTACTTGAATTTTTCTCCATACTAATTCCATGAGCTTCATTCTAGCAAAAACAGGATTATTTTGCCCACAAATATACGGTTAATTCAGTCTATTCTGTGAAGCGCTTTGAGAAGTCAAGAAGACGTGAAAAGGGCTATATCAAATGCAAGTATTATATAAAGCATTTGTACTTGATCTCTGGCTATACTTGCATTTTATCTTCAAACCTCTCAAAATGAAAAATTAATTATGTACTTTAAGCTCAAATGTACTAAGTGTTGTGCAACATGCACTGGGCAATGGATTTTCATAGCATTAAAGTGAAATCACGGCATTGTTAAATGACATTTTCATTATTTCCCCCCCCCCCCGAAGATATACCTCTTCCAACCAGCCTTACTCATGAAACAGTTTGTATTAAATTCCTCACTCATTAAAAACGGTTTCCAGCAGTACAGCGAAATAGGTTATCTTTTATTAAACATTTCAATTCAATTTTCCTTAATTTAATAAAAATCCCTATAATTGTTAAGATTGGCACTGTGACAGTAAAAGCAATAAAATCATTTAACTAGGATATCAACAGGTAAACCTAAAAAGGTAACACTATAATACAATATCCCAATACAATTACAGGTACTTTGGCTAATACTATCAGCAGGTTCATAGAAATAAGACATTTTTTTAAAACAAAAGCAGAACTAATACTTCAGTCTGAGGTTTTAAATAGTCAATTACTTTTGATATGACAAGAAGTTTACAAAGCTCACAAAATACTTTAAAAAAATAAGATGTTTGTGAAAATCTATATGAAAGGAAAAAAAGCAAAGCTGAGATGTTTGTTATTAGTGCAAAATTTGTTGAAAACTTGATTTTTCCTTAACTTTCAGAATCAAGTTTAACAATGCCCGAATAGCTCTTCAATTCAAAAAGTCGGATAAAGATACTTGGTTCAATCAATAATTTCCTTGGATGATTAATAAGCATAGGAAAATGATAAACAGGCCTTTAAAATGATGAATTTTAAAATGATAAACCTCCTTCAATTTTCCCCATTATCTGAGCTTTTAGTAGCTGCCTTGCACTCTGAGGTCGTGGAAAAAGCCACAACTTTTACCGTGTGACAAAGCTCAAAATGCAGCATTTAGTTTTATGACCTTACAAATGAGGCGCTTCAGTGAAAATAATTCTAATGCCAGATTCACTGATAGGTAATGTGAGCCAGTACCCAAAAAGGGTTGACTGCTGAGTGTGCCCCCAATTGCATTTGCCCACAAATAGTCACTCCACTTTACAGTAAATTCTGCGAAGCGCTTTGGGGACATCCTCCTGATTTGAAGTGTACCAAATGCAAGGATTATTACTCTTATATGGCTGCTCGCAGTAAGATACATCAATGAATTGAATTCGCACATAACCAGGAGAGATTTTTTTGAGAAACAGCATCAATAGTTCAAATAAATTATTTCCTTAAGATTGGGTTAAAGTATTTTTGTAAGGAACATCTCAAACATTCTGCAGTGTTTAAAATACTGGAAGGCATTGCCTAATCATTCTGATACTGAGCATATTAAATTGCAGCAACAGCAAGCAATCCGATTAACTTCATTTGCTTATTTTTAAGTTGTAATCATCAAGAGTTTATTGAACAAGCTCACCATACATTTTAATATACTTGCCCTGTTAAAAGTATTTCTAGAAATAAATATTTAGCAGCTAATCGATTATATCTTTCAAATGAGAGTTTAATGGTCTGACAGATGAAAAGACCAGGGATTCAGAGTAGTGCATGTCGTGAAAACATTGAGTACTTAAACATTCCAATATTAACCATGCATACACTTGCCTGTTGGGATGAAGTTGAGCTTCTGTTATAATGAAGCAACTTTTGGGGGTGATGCACGTAAATCTATCCTTGGCAGAAGGGACCTTGACGCAGAAGGGATTTTCATGCAGAAGATTGCAATATTATTTAAATTCACTCCTAAATGTAGTTCATAATGTGTTTTAATTCCAGATGAGTGTGAAGAGGTAGAAATAATATTTTTTTCCCCCTAAATTGGAGGACTGTAGCTCCTCATATGTGAAGGGACCTTTAGGCCCATTTTAAAATGACCCCTTTTACGTTACTGCATTGGTCAGCACCATAACATTGGTAATGATCCTTGCTCCATTTTTTCGTTACTTTAATAAAACCTGCAGATCATATTCAATGTAAAGTATCCAGCAATTATATACATAGCATATGGATATGCACAACTTAAAGCAGGTATACTTTCACCACAGCCTCAACCCTAACCTCTCCCCTTAGACTCACAAAAAGGGAAACGTAAGGAAAGAATAAAGGCTATTACTATTAAATACAGGCACGCTCTAAATAAATACATTTATCGCATTCTTGCAGACTATATCCATTCAACCTAGCGGTTAAAAAATGGATAGCTATCAAAATAATCCAAGGGACAAAATTAAAAGCCAATAGCTTCTGAATAATATAAAATATTAGTTGCTGCTTTTGTTTGTTTCTAAAATCTTGCAAGTTATCCTATCAACGGAACTAAAACAAATCAAAAACAGCCTACTGGTTGATTAAGTGATTCTCTCCATTTACAGTTCAGCACCATTAAAAAAATTAATTACCCTTTATCAGAAAATAGACACAACAGAGTTATGTTTATGGAATTACAGGGTCACATTTTAATTCCTGAATCTTACATCGCCTCATTAATATCAACACATGTATACAAACAGTGTAAAATAACAGTTACAGTGGTGGTTTATTCATCCATACAAAATAAACTTCTGTTTTATGGAAAAACTATACTTCATATCTACATGACAGATGGCCCACTTTTTCAAAAGAATGTCTAAGTTGAGCTACAAAACCTCCAAAATACCAAGGGACACAGATGATTTTTTTTAAAAAAAGCTTTAAAAAGTTTTGATTTCAGTGTGCAACACACACTCGGGCTTGTATCAAACTGCCTGTTGGCTGGTTTGGCTACAGCTGGTTTAACAACCTGCGTTAACCACTGCAATAAAAAATAACCCAGAACACTAAACTGTGCAATAAAAGCATCTGGAACCTAACCTCAACCTTCTACTGTGCTTGAATCTTAGTTACTTCTGTACTCAGACAACTGTGGCAGTGCAAAGGCAGACTATCTAAGATTCACCTTATGTTAAGGCTTTGAGTTCAGATTCCCAGCATTATGGTGGTCAGTTGGTTGTTAAAATTAGTGTTCCCTAAAGGAAATAGGTAAACAGCTACCAGTTAGAATGAAATGTTAACCTGTAATACAATATCCATGGAAGGCGCAAAAATTACATAAGATCAGACTGGGATAAAATTTTACAATTTGTTAAGCGGCACGTTTGGCCTGGGGACATCAAAGCAGAGCTGCCACAATGTACAACCTGCAGATGAGAGAACAGGAACAGCTTTTCTCATTTAACCATCTTTGCAACAGTCACTAGCACCATTTTTTACACATGGGCTTGTGGTACAAAAACAGACTGCAGTACAGTATTTGGCTGAGGTGCAGGTTTTTCTCTATTTTTCCTGTGCTTTTCAACCAATCACCATTCTGACTAGTGAATGCTAAACAGGCCCAGTGGATGCCCAAAGATCCAGTGAACATGATGGCAATTTCATCATTATGGTCCCAGTAGTAGTTTGAGATTCTTCTGCTTAGAAGTATATTGGCAAGTTTTCTTTCCTCTTTAAAAACTTGGAATTGGAGGCAAACAGAACAAAAATGAGGATGAACAAATCGGACAGCACCTAATTCATTTCAGATTACAAGGGTTTGCAACTGATACTCTGTACTCCTATTCCAGTTTTGGTTTCCTGGCAAAGAACTCCAAAACATCATTCTTGGAAAGCTCCTGCTCTCTTGCTCAAGCGTTCCCTAACCCTCCCCAAATCCAAATCTCTTCCCCATTTGAGCAACTGTCAATCAGGTTCCCAATTACAAACTGCTAGTCCTGCCAGCCGGATTGGCCTATTTTCCTTTCCAAGTTTGTTCCAGAGAGATCCAGTTCCTCAGCAGCATGTTTCCTGCCAAACAGAACTCAAACCCTCTAGTTGAAACATTGGCACACTGTTTGCTACTCCTTGTGTTGTATCTTCTGTATTCACAGTGAAGGAGCAGTTCTTGAATCTGACCTTTAGCTTATGGAACAGTTGCACCATTGTATCAGACCCCAAAGTAAGCTTTTCTCTGTGCCAATTATGAACCAAGCCGAGGTCGCTTCCTTGGTGATGCTTCTTCTTCCTCCTCCTCTTCCTCATCATCAGGATAATCTACAAGGCCCACTAGTCCTCCCTGTGGAAATTCAGAAAAAGTATATTCAAACAATTTGCTGCTACTACAAGGCAATCTACATTTTTCAATTTCAGAGAAAACAGCTTCATGCTAGTTAAACTGCAGTTCAGAGTAAGCCAAAAATGGTCCAAAAAATGCTCCTTGATAGCTTAAAAATATATATTTTTGTTTGGACATTATCCCATCAAGTTAATCTAATTTTAAGCATCTTAAAATTAGATTAACTTGATGTGATAACATCCAAACAAAAATTTTAAGCATCTTGTTTAGATTTAATCAGCCTGGATTATTTAGGTAGGCAGTGTTTTTCTTCAGTAAAAGGGCTGCCAAATGTAGCCAATTGGGAGGCTTTTGTATGTAAATTTGCCTTTACATTCCACCGAGCTGTATGTTTGGGGACTTTGTGAATGCCAACACTCAGAAATGGTTACTAAATTCACAAATACATTGATTAATTTCTGTAAAGATGCTGCATTAGATTAATTAAAGGATACATTCAGACAAGTGAAAATGAAAACATTTAAACCTTTGTTGTCACTGCTGTAGATGGGCTGGTATGCTTCGAGGAAGAACTAGTGGAGCTGGCTGGAGCGGTCTGAGCTGCCGTTGGTTTGCTGTTAGTGCCATTTGTTCCATTTGCCGCACCAGATGTACATGTATGTGAAAACGTAAACTTGAAGCTGGGACTCGAGGATCGCTTTGGAAGGTTTTCCTTGTCCTCACTTTCTTTAGCTGTGAGAGAAACATTTGAGCTCAGACTATAAAAGAATTAGGTGTTTAGAACTATTCACTTGTACTGGAATACTTGCAACTTCGGAACCCAATGACATGATAGGTAATCACTGTATTCTCACACACAATGAGGAACATACATTTGGATGAGTATCACCAATGAAATTGCACCAATATAGCAATGGCTTGCTCAAGGAGGAAAGGGATCAGGAGAAAAATATTTGAAAATTAGGATTCTCTTTGTAACAGGGAATATTAAATGGTCACATACTGGGAGCTCTTAAACGTATGTCCACTAAAAGGCATTACTAGTGGGTCATGCAAATAGCAAAAGATTATTCTGTTGTAACTCTTCACAAGTAGATCATTGAGATCTTACACTTGAACTCATGAGAGCACCGAGGGCAGATTTTCCACACTTTCAATGTTGTGAAGAACTTATTACTGGTAATTCAGAGATCATAAATTTAAAAGAATGAAAGAGGAATTGGAGATTGCATCAGCAAAGAGTAATAACCAACTAAATGAAGTGAACATGAAAAGACTACTAATCCAGGCAGGAAGGTTCATCTGTGTCCAAAATTGTTTTGTTTAAAAATATACAATCATGAAAATGAATTATAAAAGTCCTGTTTTTAGGTTTGATAAATTCTCACAGCACTTCAAAACACCTGAAGTAAGCTGCCGAATTTGTAAATATTACAATGCAAAAACAATTTTTGAAAGCCGATGAAGGGCTTTCAATATTAATCCAGCACTGAAATCTTAATGTCCATTTTTGAATTCTGAAATGCACAAGTAATCTGTCAACAGCTGTTAGCGGGAAACCATAATGGAAGTGAATGGGTTGGCATATTTGAATGTTTCATTTTACAAATGCTCCGTTTCCACACTAAACCAATATTGGTTGGGAAACTAAATTCTGAGTTACTGATTGAATCAATATTGGCACAGCAGTTACAATCTGCATGGTGACAAAGCGAGGACTAAAAACAAGTCACTGTGAAATTGTTATACTTGGTTATCAGGATGAATTACACCATTTTAGTCAGTTTTGCAAAAAGTCAGATTTTAAAAACAATTGACTATAATTAATGTACCTTTTTTAGTTTCAAGAAATTTTCCATAACTGTCTGGGTAATCATCCTCCGATTTTGATTTCTCAACGTGAGGTACCAAAGCTTCCCCTTCTTCCTCCTCTTCATCTTCATTAAACCACATCTCTTCATCTTCCTCCAAAGCGCGAGCATCTCTACGGTAACGATTATTACGCAATATGGATGGTACACTGGGGAGAAAAATGATAGAACCACAATATAAAAACTCTGTCAGCTCAAACTAAAACGTTGAGCTTTAAATTTACTTTCCAACTTAAAATTGAGCACATTCAGCTAGGTACACATATACAATTATGGTACCAATGGACCTGATCTAGGCCCTGCTGAGTACAATGGTTGTGGCAGGAATCCACATTAGCTTTTGAGAGGGAACCCGGATAAGATAGATACAAGGAAATAATTTGCCAGAATATGAGTCAAGGTAAGTAAACAGAACTAAGTGGATTACCATTTAATAATAATAATAAACCTTGCATTTCAAGGAGCCACATACACGATGGGCAGAATGGCCTTCAAGTGTGCTGTAAATTTCTATGGCTCTATGTACTACAATATACGTATTAATCTCACAATTAATTTTCTAAATCGACCTTCAAGTTTAATAAATCTTAAAACCAAGTGTAAACACCATAGCTGAAAACATTCCAACAGCTGAACACATTCAGCTTTCGACCGGAGTTCCAATGGATTCTTACCTGTTTAATTTCTGATTTTGGAGACGGTCCCTTTCCTGCTCATATCTTAACTTCAGTCCTTTAAATGTCTGCACATACTCTACATGTTCAAGTGCTTTGTAGAAGTTGTCAACTATGTGCGATGTAAGTGACTTGATATCCTCCTGCAGTAACAAACATTTACAAGGAATAGATAACGCATTTCTTAATCAAGAGAATGGTGACAACTGACAACAACAACAAGATTCCATTTATAAAGCGCCTTTCACATCAGGAGGACGTCCCAAGGCGCTGCACAGTTGGGTCATGACCCGAGCAGGGGGGAAATGGTCAGGGTGAGGGGAGGGAAGGGAGGGAGCGAGGAGGGGGAAATGGTCAGGGTGAGGGAAGGGAGGGAGCAAGGAGGGGGAAATGGTCAGGGTGAGGGGAGGGAAGGGAGGGAGCGAGGAGGGGGAAGAGAGTCGAGAGGGAAGCTGAAGGCACGGTCAAAGAGAAAGGTTTTGAGACCGGCCTTGAAGGAGGAAAGGGAGGAAGCAAGGCGAAGGCACTGGGGGATGGAGTTCCAGAGCCTGGGGGCTGAGAGGCTGAAGGCCCGACCACCGATGGTAGGGCGGTTGGGGCGGGGGACGTGGAGCAGACCAGAGCCAGAGGAACGGAGGGTACGGGCAGGTAGGTAGGGGGATAGTAGGTTGGAGAGGTAGGAGGGAGCAAGGCCGTGAATGGCCTTGTAGGTGAGGATGAGGATCTTGAAATCAATCCTCTGGGGGATGGGGAGCCAGTGGAGGCGAGCGAGGGTGGGAGTGATGTGGTCGCGAAGCCTGGTGCGGGACAGTACACGAGCTGCAGAGTTCTGAATGACCTGCAGCTTGTGGAGGGAGGTGGCGGGAAGGCCGGCGAGGAGAGAGTTCCCATAGTCCAGCCTTGAGGTGACAAAGGCGTGGACCAGGGTTTCAGCAGCGTGAGGGGTGAGGTAGTGCCGTAGTCTGGCGATGTTCCGGAGGTGATGGAAGGCGGTGCCAGTTGTGGTGCGGATGTGAGGGAGAAAGGACAGCTCAGGGTCGAACAAAACGCCGAGGTTCCTGACTGGCTTTGAGAGGTGGAGAGTGCAGCCTTGGATGCTGATGGTGTCAGCGCCTGAGGTGCGGAGGCGCTGACGTGAGCCAATCAGGAGGGCCTCGGTTTTTCGCACGTTGAGCTGAAGAAAGTTGTCTCTCGTCCAGGACTCGATGTCGGACAGGCAGGCTGTCAGGACATCGGTGGTCGTGGAGTTGAGAGTAGAGGAGGAAAGGTAGAGTTGGGTGTCATCCGCATACATGTGGAAGTTAACTCCATGTCTGCGGATGATGTCACCAGGGGGAGCATATAGAGGGTGAAGAGGAGGGGACCGAGGACAGAGCCCTGAGGGACACCACATGAGACAGTACGGGGGGTGGAGGAGAAGCCATTCGTTGAGACAAAGTGAAGACGGTGAGAAAGGTACGACCTAAACCATTCAAGGACAGTGCCTTGAAGGTTGAGGTGGGAGGACAAGCGGTGGAGTAGGATAGCGTGGTCGACCGTATCGAATGCTGCCGATAGGTCGAGGAGGACGAGGAGACAGAGGGAGCCCTGGTCACAGATGGTCAGGATATCATTGGTGACCTTGACCAGGGCAGTTTCTGTGCTATGGGCAGCACGGAAACCTGACTGAAGGGGTTCAAAAAGAGAATGGGTGGAAAGGAAAGAGCGCAGTTGGGAGGCGACAACTCTTTCCAAGACCTTGGAGAGAAAGGGGAGGTTGGAGATGGGCCGGTAGCTTGATAGCTGCGACGCATCAAAGGAGGGTTTGACAACCCGCATAGAAGTCGGTTGATAGCATTTTAAACAGTTTATGATTTTCACTGAATACTGTGATGAAATTAAAAGATAAAATTGTTCAAACCATTGGAAAAGTAGTAACTTACCACTCTGATAAATTCAAAGAGTTCAATTATTGCTGAATTAAGCAGATTATATCTGGTTCCATTATCCAAAAAAGCATTTATAACTGGCTCAAAGAGATTTCCTTTAGTTATGTAGCGATTATAGAATTCATCCTTTAGTCCAATGATCCTCCTCATAAAACGCAATGCACCTGTTTTCACAAAACATAATTAGTCACTAAACTGCCTCCACATTGTCACATTCTTAAATGAATTTACCTGGAGTGGCACAGCAAGATAGATGGATTGCTACCACTCACAAAAAAAGAGCACAATGATATAGATGCACACATGCAATTTCCTGAATGGTTATTTACCACTAAAAGTTGTATAAGTTGGTAGGCCTCAAGCAGAGACTAGCAAAAATCAGTGCCCTCCAGAACGTAGAAATTTGTCAAAGTCTGTTATTTTTTCAATTTAAAAAAGAAACAACTTACATAAGGCTAGAAAAGTATGCTTTGAATTCATCAGCACCAACACCCTTCGGAGTAAATCTTTGTTCATGATGTAATTCTTGATATGATATGTATGATGTTCTACACAGAATGTGAGCAGTTCCAAGATCAAGGCTAGGAGCTGTGCTGTCTGGAAGTTATCTAAAATGGTAGGAAATGGAAGTTAAAATCGGGTTACTCATTTGTGACATTCTTCATTTCATTTTGAAAACTAGCCTGAAATTAGAGAGGCTGAATTGTGCCATAGGCAGGTACCACAGGTGGAAAAAGTAGTATCCTAGCCCACTGCACAATTAGCCAATAAAGTATGTTAAGTGATAGTAATAATACGAGTTATAAGTTTCAGGTTGCCCCATTCAGATCCTGCTTAGCTTTTCTCACCTTTTTACCCACCTGAGATTATTTTTTAGTCATACAAGTATTCATTTAGTCAATCTTGAAAGGTTGAAAGGCCCCATACTGTCTCTGAGAGAACAACTGGGATCCAGTAATGATACAGTTCAATTTGTTAATAATATACATTAACATATTATATAGAAAGAAGATATTGCTCAAAAAATTTAAATTTTAGAAGTTATAGGAAGAGCAGTAGGAAAAATGAAGTGGGATGCAGAAATACGAATACTAAATTCTTCTAAGATCATTTTAAGGGAAATAAAAAGCCTGTGTCAGTTGATACTTCTGCCTGCATGTCAGAAGGTTATGGGTTCAAGCCCTATGTCGGGACTTTGAACTCGCGTTTTTTCAAGGCTCACACCCCAATGCAGTGCCGGGATGGTGTTGCATTGTCTACAACAATACGATTACATTTGTATAACTCCTTTCACATCAGGAGGACGTCCTAAGGAGATGGACAGTGTACAGCATTTCAGACCCGAGCTGGGGTCAGGGAGGGAAAATGGAGAGGAGGGGAAGGGGGTGACCGATGGCATGGTCGAAGAGGAGGGTTTTGAGGCGGGACTTGAAGGAGGCTAAGGAGGGGGCGAGGCGGAGTGACTGGGGGATGGAATTCCAGAGGTTGGGGGCAGAGTGGCTGAAGGCTCTCCCGCCAATGGTGGGGCGGGGGACATGGAGCAGGCCAGAGCCGGCTGAGTGGAGGGACCGGGCGGGTTGGTAGGGGATTAGGAGGTCACACAGGTAGGGTGGGGTGAGACTACAGAGGGCTTTCTAGGTGACGACCAGGATCTTGAGGTGGATCCTCTGTAGGATAGAGAGCCAATGGAGTTGGGTGAGAATGGGGGAAGATGGAGTCACGGAGTTTGGTGCGGGAGAGGACACGGGCTGCAGAGTTCTGGATTATCTGCAGCCTGTGGAGGGAGGAGTTGGGAAGGCCGACAAGCAGGCGTTTGCATAGTCGAGCCTGGAGGTGATGAAGGCGTGAACAAGAGTTTCAGCGGCCTGAGGGGTGAAATAGTGGCGGAGTCGGGCAATGTTACGGAGGTGAGGGAAGGCAGAGAGGGTCATGGCTTGGATATGGGGAAGGAAAGACAATTGAGGGTCGAACAAGACACCTACGTTCCTGAATGGCTTGGTGAGTACACTTTACAGTAAATCCTGTGAAAGCTTTGAGACATTCTTCTGACATTCAAGGCACTATATCAAATATAAGGATCACTTTCCTCTCTAAATAGTGGTTATATGGAAGAGACTTCCAACAAAAGCAGCTGATGAAATGTGGATTTATCCCCAATATTTAAAAAATGTATCTATTGTGCAGACTGAGGTAAACAAATACTCTAGAACACAAGGGTTTTTGTGATACTGATATTAGGATGGAATAGTGGAAATGTAAGAGTGCATGAATGTTTTTATTTCATGTTGGGGATCAAGACACATTTATATAGAACTTTCCTGGTGAGGAGAGATCAGGGTAAAATTCACAAGAGGATAGGTTTTCTTGGTCTGTAGAAGTAATGGACACAATGGGCTGAATTACCTTTTCTCCTTTTACATTCATGAAAACTTCCAGATAAGGGGCACGTTTCTGGGAATGGGACAATGAACAAGGGGGCATTAAGAATAGCTGTTCCTGACTGAGAAATGCTTTGGCTGCAAAAGTGGAACAAAACCATTTATTTCCTGAGTAACCATTGCACTTACTTCATTGGGCAGAAACTTTCAACATAAAATAAAACTACCATGAAATCTATGTCAGGTTAGCACAGAGGTTATTGCTGACCTAAATCAATACCAGTCGACATTCATTTCCTGTAGTTGCACCAAACAGTCAAAGACTATAATTGACTTAAAAAAAATGTACTGGTAAAAAAGTGAGCTTGCTGTGTTTAAGGACTTTGTGTTCTACAAGCAGCTATTATTTTTTTATTACTAAACCACCAGTGTTGGGTGTATACCAATCAATATGCTGAATTATTTAAGGTTCTGGTGTAATGAGTTATAAGAACTACCAATGCTTCAAGTGCTATGATGTATTAATGTGTAGAAAACATTCTAGACACTAACGGAAAAAACAATGTTTCAGTACCAGGTTTGAAGTCAAAGTAAAGCAAACTGCAACTTACCAGAACACAATGCACTATTCCTGTCAGATCCGACTATTGCATCTAAATAAAATTTCAAGCACAAACGAGTATAAAGAGATGCACAATGACTGCCATCAAAGATTTCCACTCTTTTGGGGGGAAAGCAACTCCAGGAAATCATTGTAGTGAAAAGACATTTAACATCAGGACTTAGTGTCATTGAACTCACTTTGGTTAATGATTCACGTCAATGCTCTACTCTAGGTTACATAATTGATTTCTAGCTGCACATCAACTCTGCAATCTAATACTTCCACTTTCTTCTTACATTGCATGCCAGATAAGGCAAGTTAACTGCTGTTAGTTTCTGCCTACAGACACACACACACAATACTAAAAAAAAGCTTAAAATGTCAATATGTTTTACTCATAAAATCCTCCCATTTAAAAGTTTATATTGTTATCTAAATGCTGACAATGACCGCAGACTGTAAAAATGTGCATAGCAAACACTGCTAAATCTTGAACAGAAGGCTTAAAAATATCAATATTTAAATGATGCAAGTCAAACTCACCTTTACTGCTAGGTTTTTCATCTGTGGTATTAGCTAGTAAAGGAGCACTGAGAACGTGCATGCAGTGCTTGTAGAAAAAGCTGAGGAATTCAGTTTTCTCAGTTTTCTGTTAAAACAAGATTATAATTTGGTCATTTCCTTAATCATACAAGCTACATTTTTTAAAAAACAACAAGATCGCATTTATAGAGTGCCTTTCACGTCGGGAGGACATCCCAAGGCGCTGGACAGTTGGGTCAAGACCCGAGCAGGGGGGAAATGGTGAGGGTCGGGAATGGAGGGAGCGAGGAGGGGATAGAGAGTGAGAGGGGAGCTGAAGGCACGGTTGAAGAGAAAGGTCTTGAGACCGGCCTTGAAGGAGGAAAGGGAGGAAGCAAGGCAAAGGCACTGGGGGATGGAGTTCCAGAGCCTTGGGGCTGAGAGCCCAGCCACCGATGATAGGGCAGTTAGGGTGGGGGATGTGGAGCAGACCGGAGCCAGAGGAAAGGAGGGTACGGGCAGGTACGTGGGGGGATAGTAGGTCGGAGAAGTAGGAGGGTGCAAGGCCGTGAATGGCCTTGTAGGTGAGGATGAGGATCTTGAATTCGATTCTCTGGGGATGGGGAGCCAGTGGAGGCGAGCGAGGGTGGGAGTGATGTGGTCCGAAGCCTGGTGCGGGACAGTACACGAGCTGCAGAGTTCTGAATGACCTGCAGCTTGTGTAGGGAGGTGCCGGGAAGGCCGGCGAACAGAGTTCCCGTAGTCCAGCCTTGAGGTGACAAAGGCGTGGACCAGAGTTTCAGCAGCGTGAGGGGTGAGGTAGTGCCGTAGTCTGGCGATGTTCCGGAGGTGGTGGAAGGCCGTGCCAGCTGTGGCGCGGATGTGGGCAAAAAAACTTACAAATCTTGCACTTTCTCCACATACATATATGTTACAAACAAATCAGTCAAGGGATCGTGTGGCCCCTAGCTTTTAACTTGGTTAAATTTTTTTTAAAATTTCAGGAACCGAGTAGAGAGATCTATGGAAAGTTGCAACAATTCATTCAATACTATTAAAATAAGCTTCCATGTGCGCTAAACGTTTTCAAAAAAAAGTTAGTCCTTAAAACAAGCTGGGTTAGTGCCAACACAGAGAACTCACTGCAGGTTTTAATTTCATTCTATTATGTGCTCAAACCAATAGAAAATGCACATATATCAACTGTTAAGAGTATTGAATCATCACAACGGGTGCTGTTCCTGGAATGTAATTACACAGATTTCAGACTTCTCAAACCACCACCATCAGATCATCCCTTTTTTTAAATATAAAAATGCAAAGAATTAGGACTAAAATTAACACTGCTTTATTCTGATTTGGGATATTTTTATTTACCCCACAAGCAATTACCCTGGGAAGCTTGCTTGAATAAGTTATTGAGGCAGGCAGCATGATGACAGAGAAACAACGCACCTAGATATATAGTCATATATTTACACACAGACAGCTCAGTGGTAAATCAATTCAAGCTGTTCAAGATCACTAACAGATAAAATTAATCCAAAAGCGCCTTACATTTGCTGTAGCTAACATATTCTCAGGGTCAATTAATGTTCTCAACAGTCCCATTAGTTGAACTGCTCCTCCAAGCTCAGGGTCTGTATCACAGATCATCTGTTCAATGATTACATTGATTAGGAGAATGTCCTGCAAAAAAANCATGAACCCAATTAGATGATCGATTATACAAAAAAANTCTTTAAAGCATAACAGTTTCAAAACAATGATTAATTTGTCCTGTCTTCATTTGGACGACAATTATTCATTTGCATTTGGAGCTAAATTAGAAGAATGCCATAATTTCCCTAAACATTTCCTAGCATTCATATCCTGCAGCCAAATGGGCCCTTTCGATTACAAGTGAACCATAGCAAATACTTGTACTGATCCACAGGTTTAGAGTCTGGGCTGGTGCCAGTTAGACATGCCTTTATAATAAAGACAACTGAGGTTAACAAAGCTTTTAAGTAAACGTTGCTCTGGCATTTCTGTCAGAAAAATGAAAGGACCGTACTTTCATCTTTCAATTCTCAAAATTCTCTCCTTCCTGATTGTGTATTTTTCTCCTGAATTTCCTTTCATTCATTCACATTGGTATTTATCCATTTAAATTTAGCTTCAAATTTTCATCGAGTTTCCTTTGTTTTATCCATCTTGCACCAATCTTTATTTGTCCCACACCATGATAACCCACTGGCTATTTTTAAACTAAGTAAATTACAGATGTAATTATCTGCTCTTTTGAAAAAGCTTAACTGAGATTTAAGGCACTCTATGTGTATATTTATGATTACTACAGAATATACTATGAAGTGAATTGACTGTGTATTTTGTGGGTGAAATTTTGTGATGCAGAAAGAGTAGGCTAACGTGTAGAATCCTTACAACTGAATTCAGTTCTATTTGGTTATGTTTTTTCCCCTAACAAATTTCATATTTGTAGACAAACATTTATTAGACTCCATTTAAACATTCAACAAAATTAAAGAATTTCATAATATTTCAAATGCTGCGTTGATCATATTTAGGATATTCTGCTTGCTCATTTGAAATATTATTTCCTCCCTTTGCATTAAGATTGAATTTCGAGTTCAGTTAAAATAATGGTATGTGCTTGTGTTCATTTCAAAATAACAATGATATGTAATTAATACATAAAACGTGAGAAGAGCCAATTAGCAGGATTGTCATCGGCCACCATAAAAGAGTGAATGCCTCAACAGATGATGCAAATGGCCAGATAATTCAGGGACAGAATCTTGAGAGATTCCCAAAACTCATTTACGACAAATAAGTGTACATACCCTTAGAGCAAATTGTTTTTCAAAATAACGAATAAACTAGTTTGTAGAGTTGGATATTAATACTGACACTATTATGTGAAGCGCTTTAAGACATCTCGAAGACACGATAAGGCGTATAAACAGATGCAAGGTTTAATATTATTATAACACCCCACCAAATACAGAACTGCCAAAACAAAATTAAAAATTCCCAGATATTATCTTAAAAAGGGCTCACACTAGATCAATGATTAATAAAATGATGGACTTCTTTGCGGAATTAAGTATTCTACATCCTCCCTTCCCTGAATTAACTCTCACCCTTTCCCCTGCCATCAAGAGGAGATTAATAGCTGAGGCTGGGGAGATAAGCAGAGAAAATTGTGACTGATAATTAAGATTCCATTTACTATAAAAGCTTGTACTTACATCATCACTCTGCTGTGCTTCCTGCATTACAAACTCGCGTACCATAGATGGACTATATTCTACCAAATAAGAAAATATGTCTGTAGCAGCAGCTCGCACCTGTACATCATCCATGCCCTGCAAAATATGGAAGCAAAATCAAATGTTAATTGAGGTTATGATTGCACAGTGACATTTCTTGAGCATTTGTTTTCAGTCTGCTGAAATCAAAAACAATTTACTCAGAAAAAGGATAACATAATCCATCCTTTTCAATAAACAAGGCTAGAAAAACTGATTTTAAAATGTACCACTTCATTATCCATCAAAAATAATCAATGAATCCTTAACAAACACTTCCAGATTGCAGGTAACAGTTTCCCGCAAATTGAATTCACAGGCACAGCAGTGCCAGCAGTGGGAGTTCATTTAAACAAAACAGAAACATAAGGAGTTAATAGTACCCCAGGAGGAATCATGCTCCCAGCAACCAAGTCAAAAGTTACGTTGGCAGATGCATGGAAGTACGTTTCCTGTCTGCCCTCTCATTCAGTGAATGGCATGTAAGTTATGATGACGGGGGATGGGGAGAAAAAGGAAGTAATTAAAAGGGGCAATAAAACCACCTGCCAATTATTAGTACCCGGGGCAAAGCACATTCACTTATTTGGACATTCAATGCATTTACAAAGATACAATTTTCCACATACCGAGGTTTTCCTCATTACAGGAAGTAATGAACTATTATTGCTGACTGTAGCAACTTGATTTACCTTGTAAAAAGATCCTGTAAAGAGTGCTCAAGAATCTGAACTCTCAAACTACATTATTAATAATAATAAAAGTATCCATGATGCTTGATTAAGTCATGTTTCTTAACCTGAAAGCTAATTCAAGAGATCTATTTTGTTTTGTTGACTTTTTAATTGAGGCCACATTGTCATACGTTAAGTTACCAAGTGCCATATTCCCAAATCCATGTTTGTCTCCTGGTCACCATTTGTCTTGTCTCTTCTGCTCACTCCATGACTCAAGCAAAACCTTTTTCAACATACTGCCCTAAAACCAAGCTATTAATTTCTGCATACCCAAATTAAGCACAATAATAGTAAACAATAAACTGCCCCATTATCTTTAATAAACTTCACGTTTCCATATCGCTCCTCCAGCAACACAGTACTGAGCGTTCCATTCTGTTCATTCATGTGTTGCTATGTCAAATATCAGTTTCTTGCCAGCTCTCAATAGATTGCTATTGCAACCAATTAGCCTCTCCAACATGAAACCAACAATTTGCCAGTAGAGATTCACCTAGTTCATCTCTATGCTCTGGTATGTTGAAATATGGTTAGAAATTACCAATATCTTAAAGGTTCCGTTCTATAGGTTACATGAAGAACCCTGTCAGAAAGAAAAATTAGTTACCCCAGGACTTACAAATTGTACCAAGAAAATCCTGTCCTTCGTGGGAATATAGGGATTAAACCACTAAATATAGTTAATTAAACCACATATTTCTTAAAGAGCCATGGATTTGGGAAATGGATAAAATACAGAATCGTGTTATTTTAAGCAAATTCCTTACAGCAATCTGGCCCCAGTAAAAAAAAAGCAAGTGCTCCTCATTTAAGTATAGTTCTCAAAAACAAATAAGTATAAAAAGCCATAAGAAAAAAATCTTCTCACCAGAACTATTTCAAGGGCAGGAAGAATTCCTAAATTAGCAAGAGTCTTGAAAAATGCATCTCTATTCTGAGGTTGCAATGTTTGAGAAAATGCACAGAATTCTTTAAAGAAGTTCACCTGTGTTGAAGAAAATAAATCAGTTAGTAAAAGGTACCACTTTCAATCAACGTACATTTCAAATTGAATAATTAACTTACTAATTCTCGTCTCTTATCATCATCCGTTGCTTCATCTGTTAACTGTGCAAAAAGTTCAGTCAAAAATTTTTCATCTTCCTGTTTCAAAGGAACAAAGCAGCAGATTTCAGCATTTTTAGTTTTAAAAAGAGGATGCAAAGTTGTAAAATACAGTTACAAGTTACCAGGACACAGAACCTCAGTCATAAAGTTAAAATGTCATAATAGTCTGATTATTTCGAATCAGTTTAGATATTCTTATGCAATCAATTTTGGCCACTCTAAATAGAAAAATAAGTTAAATGATGTGAACAACCTCATTTTGCACTTCCTATGCAACTTTTAAAAGCATGCTTTATTGCCACTAATGTACTGCACTTGGTGAACAACTTAAAATATGGCTGAGAGAAAACACGAACAAATAGGATGAATCCACTCATGGCTTCCTCTCAATTTGTTAAGTGGGATGTTTAGGAATGCTGTACTCACTTCTGTGAACACAACAAGGCTATAGCACAATAACGTCCAAAATTTGGTCTTACCCAGGGTCGAAACTAGGTTAGCTTGTGGGGAAATGAAAATGGACACTGGTACAGGAAGTGACAACTTAATAATAATAACAATCCTTGCATTTGATATAGCGCTTTTCACGTCTTCTAGACGTCCCAAAGCGCTTCACAGAATATACTGTAAGGTGAATTGACTGTATATTTGTGGGCGAGCACGGCAGCCAATTGCACACAGCAGTGTCCCACAAACAGTCATGGATTGAAAATGACCAATTTATTATTGTTTAATTTTTGGAGGGATTATTATGGTTATGGCACACAATCAAGGAGCATTTAATCCTCTTACCAGCACACAAACTATTCCCTGAAGCACAAAATTCACCACCCCTAACACATAGGCCTCTCAAGGGATAAATCTGCAGAATGCTTCAGATACACACAAGGTGTTCAAGTAATCCATCCAACCCCATATCTCAGCATCCAATGCTGCTTTGTACAACAACAAAATAACATTTGTATCGTGCCTTTCACTTCGGAAGGGCGTTGTAGCGCTTAGAAATATTCTAACTGCCTTTAGGAACAAAGTTCTATATACTGTTCTATATTTTGAACCTTATAGCACATCATATTACTCTATTATTTACCAGTTCCCAACAGTACATTTGTCCAGCTATTGTTTGAAGAGGATAATCAATATTGATTTTGCTGAGAGTATTTTCACATATTTGTTATTCTGGAAAGCAGGGATGCTTCTCATTGCAAATCTCACTTGCAGCTCGTTAGTTTTACGGTTGAGTCCTCTAGTTCTTACAGACCAGATTAAACAGCTTACATAAACTCTTCCTCAGCATTTTAACAACTGAATCATATCCTCGTTCAATCTTTTCAGCAAAAGTTCACCTCTGGAAATCTCTGTTCATATCTTAAGCATTTCCAGCCCTGGAAATTCTCTGGATTACTCTGCTACAAAGCCTTGTAAGGTAGGGTCTCCAAATTTGCAAACAATATCTATACCGATTAAGCCATTTTATCCAAAGTTAAAGTTTTAACTTAAATTTTTCTTCAGGGCTTTCTCTGTGATTTCTTAGACAAAAGATTACAACCAATGTTTTTCAGATGCTACCTTCTAATCCAAATATTAGTCAATTTGGAGTAGCTGGTTCCTAGACAAGTACAGTACCATTACAAGTACAATACCTCGAGGATATTTAGTTTCCTGAGCTTGAGTCATCCCACACAAGCATGTTCATAGCAGCTGTCTCAGCTGTTAAACTAAACTGGAGGTGTTAAAGGATGCATGTGACTTCTCCCAAGGTATATGGCAATACAGAGATTTAATGACGAGTTAAATCCTCGGGCTGGACTAAACATGAAAATTTCTTTCTTCACTGAAACAAATATAGATTTGTATATTTTTGTTTTACTTTGAACACAAAGTACTCCCTAAGACTTTCCCATTTCATTTTTCATTTCTCACTTTGAAATATTTAGTGTACTATGCAAATGGTACTAAAGCTGAAGTCTTTACAAATGGGGCTACCCAGTGCTGATAAATCAGCATATATACTTTTTATCATCGATTAGTTGCACTCAACCAATCTGAAGAGCTTATAAATAATAATGATCTTTACCTTTCTTACAGGGCTTTCACAACAAATAACTTTATAGGATTTAAGAATAATCATCTTTGCATTTGATATAGTGCTTTTCAAGGTTCTAGCATGTTTCCCACTGCCCAAGGCCCCGATTCCCTAGCTTCCAGTAGTAATTCAATATTTAAAGTTCAGAGCAACACAATGAAAAATATGACTGCTGGACAGCTGCTGCATACTCTCCCAGGACACCAAACACAATTAACTTCAGCTTTCACTTACTGTTTTGCCAGTGATATAGGGCTCGACTGGTGGCACTGTTCCAGATGGTATAAATTCTGCCAATACTCTTACTACCAAATCAAGTCGATCGGCGTTTGCCGTTAGATGCACTGATTCAGCTGGCTTTCACTTACACGTCATTACCACATGCCCTGACAGCCCAAACCTGGCCGGCTTACTTTACACCAGTAGGAAGTACAAGAACAAAAGTCTAGGTACTTGACAAGTAAGCCTGCTATTCTAACTTTCCAGCGCAACTCCACATATACAAAATAGCATATTCATGCACCAGAACTGTCTTCACTGGACCCTGCACACAAGGAAATGAAGATCCTAGCACAGAATCGACACAACTCCAAAATGAAGAATGCTGCCCAACATTCAGTGTTTCTATTTTTGCTTTACTCTTTCTTCTTCCAGAAGAGCAAACTCAAATATTTATGTACGTTTTAAATGCAAAAGTCAAAACTGCATGGGCAATTAAATCCAAATACATACAGAAACTTTCAGTTCTCATTAGCACCTTGTTTAATTGCCATAATAAACGCCCCCCCCCCCCACCCCCTCTCAAATTGGTGATCATTAACTCTGGGCTCCACTGCATTAGTCATTTACCATTTGCAGGTATCGTATAATATGAAGAGTTTAGAACACAATATATTACTTTCTTGAAGTTTCACTTTATAAAAAAGTATTTCGCAACAAAATCTTGATAGGAATTCAACACATTTTATGAATCTTTAAAACTAACTACAAAGGTTTTGTTCTGCAGAAAATTAAAGAAGATGTTATAAGTGAGCAATATTCTTTAGTATCATCCACCAGATTAAAATATTAAAATACTATATAATAATAATCCTTGCATTTGATATAGCGCTTTTCACGTCGGGAGGACGTCCCAAAGCGCTTCACAGAACACACTGTAAAGTGAATTGACTGTATATTTGTGGGCGAACGCGGCAGCCAATTGAGCACAGCAATGTCCCACAAACAGTCGTAGATTGAAAATGACCAATTTTTTTATTATTATTTTTGGTTTTGGTGGGATTATTATTAGGCTCTGTGTGGAGTAAGGAAACTTGCCCAAGGTTTCGCCCTCTGCCTGGGATTGAACTCCGGTCTCTCGCTTGCAAAGCGAGTGCTCTAACCACTGAGCTACAGGACTCCACAGAGATTGTATTGCAAGCAGCAGTTTCGGCAGACAGTTACACGGATATAATGGCAGACAGTTACATGGATAATTTAAGTTTCCCTGTATGGACACGGGCCAGTGTGTCCTTACTGTGCATGCACAGGTCGTTGATTTTACTTGCTCCGATGCTCTAAAATGAGCGTGAATTTGGCAGCAGGACACACATGTACAATTCACTCTGAAGCTTGTAAAGCACCAGATGGTACTATAATTTACAGGAGGCAACGAGAACCAGATAATTCCACATTAATCACTTTCCTTTCCAGATTATTACAGATAAATAGGAGCACAAATATTTGAAGTGTATTGCATTTCAAATTACATCATATAGCATCCTTCAGAGCAGAGCACAAATATACACTCAAGAATAATGGTCTAGAAGCTCTTCAACAGCCACTGTGACCTACTTCAGCAACAAACAAGCACTATTTTTGTAAATTGTATCCACTACTAAAACATAGGCTTTCAGAACAGAGTCCATTCTACTAAGGTACCATATGGCATAATCCTAAATATTACAAACTGAGATAACTCAATGGTGCCTCAATCACTTTTCATTGCTATTTTAAGGTTGAAAATGGTTGGGTTTGCCATCATGCAGCATAATTGTTGTACGTTTGTGCCTAAGCAGAATGCAATTGCAATACAAATAATATTCATATTACTTCCTATAATGCTATATAATCTCAGAGCAATCAACAGTGCTGGCTGGGCACCTGAGCTGTAGGTGATAGCTGCAGGGAATAGGGAAGAGAAAAAGTGACGGAAAGTGAGGTCAAAGAGGTATGTCTTGAGACGGGATGGAAATGAGCTGTGAGCAGCAGATAGATTTACGGAATGGAGATTGAAAGAGTGGGACAGAATGGCTGCAAGTTGGTCTGCTGAAAGGGCAGAGGACCTGAAGCACACCAATGTTCATTGAACAAAGTGAACGACTGGTCTGGTAGGATTGCAGTAGGTTGCCGAAGTAGGGCGAAGCCATGCAGGGATCTAAAGGGGAGAACGAGAATCTTGTATTCAGCTGCTGGGAGATGGGGTGGCAGTGGAACTGAGCAAGCAAGCAATGGTATGATAGGCTTGCAGAGCTTGGTGCGGGAGGGTATATGGGCTACAGAGTTCTGGGCAGGCAAGCCTTGGCTGGAGGAAGTTAGAGCTCATCCAGGAATTGATGTATGACAGGCAAATTGGTTAGAACAGAGGTGCTCCTGGAATCGAGAGTACGGGCAGTTAGGAGTTAGACATCATCTGGGTACATGTGGAAGTGAACTCCATGTCTGCGGATAATGTCAGTGAGTAGCAGCACACAAATGATGCAGAGGACACAGTATAGAACACTGTGGAACACTACCCGTAAATGCATGGGAGGAGACGTTGTTAGATAAGATAATTAAGAATACCGACTGGTACTTGCAATTAGAATAAAAATATTTTTTGCATTGATACAGTGCCTTTCACATCGTCTCAAAACATTTTACAGACTTACAAGAAAATGCAGCAATTATATTTTTGTAGTCCATTGCAGCAGTAAACTTACAGAGCAATGCCCCACAAACAGCAATGAAGTGAATGACCAATTTTATTTGGGGAATTGTTCGCCAGGACAACAAGAGAAATTCCCTTTTCTTGTCCACTTGAAAACACATATGGGAAATTGGGATTAACATCTCACCCAAAGGACAGCACTTCCAACAATACAGATTACCCCCAGAATAACTAGTCAAATAGTTTTTTTTTAAATTGAAGATGGAATAAAACTGAATGCAAGCTTCAAAGAAAAAAATATTTACGCGAACATTAGTGCTTCAGAATTTCATATATTCTGGTATAAATGACAGACTGGAATTCAGCCACAGTTAAATGTTTTAATCAATCATTTACGAGCTTTAAGGAACCCCTCCCAAACATTGACGAATACTGCAAAATATTCTTGTACTAAAAGGCATAAAATCAATTACTTCACCTTTTCATAAATTGTTCAAAGCTGATTTTGAAAAAGGAGATTGATGATGTTAGAGAAAGTTAGAGGAACTATTGAACTGAAAAGTGCAAGGGAGCTCAACCAACATCAAAACAAACCTGGTTTTATGAATGTCTCCACTAAAATTCAGATTAGCAACTCTCCATCAATTTTCTCAATATCATCAGCACATATACAAGTCTAAAACAATTTTTCTTTTTTTTTTAAAAAACAAAGGCCAACATTTTCAGAAATAAGATCTTACAAGTGCAATTCTGCTAAACATGAATCATGTCATGCATTAAATACCACCACACAACTGATCCCAAACTAAGGAAATCAATTTAATTGATGCAATAGAATAGCATATGCAGTTTTAACTTTACAACTCTAACATACTAAGTGTGGGTGACTATGAGTTTCCTTGTCTGCTTTGCGACCAACTATTCATGTAAATTAGCCCCCTTTACCACGAATAAAATGAATTCATGTATTCATCTCTCTTTAGTAATACAGAGCGCCAAGCAGAAAACAATACCTCCAAAGGAATTCCTATCTGTGAACATCAAAATAGTAAAAGCAACTATGTAAACATTAACATCTCACAAATCTACAATAGCACATGGTACAAAACATGTCATGAAAGTTAGCCAAGATTTCGAATGATTCACTAACTCCAAAGAAAACACATTTGACCTCTTCCTCAACCTTATCCCTAGAATTAACTACATGCAAATGCAGCAACTAGAACAGAAATTAGGTGGTTTAAGAAGTCATTCTGCCAAAACTTAAACTTGCATTATAGGACTAGAACTGTGCATAAATAAAACACTCCAATATTTTAAAGCACTGCCGAGGAGACGCAGAACAGTAGCGCAGTGGGCTAAGCATATTGTCAGTCCTAGGTCTGAGTCCACCTCAGATCGATGTGATGAAAGTCTCAATTCTGTTGGTTTTACATGTTTTACAAATAAAGAAATTGTCAGTTTCAACCCAGTTTCTAATATATGTGCAACCAACAGCACAAAACAACCGACAATTTGATCAAACAATAATCAGGCAATATTATTGAGAGTTGCTGTAAGCAAGGGTTTTGCAGTAAACAAAAGAACTTGACTTTTGCTTGTATGTTTTGAGGTTGGGCAAGACATTGTTCAAGTGGAGTAAGCATGTCGTAATACTTAAATTATGTAATTATTAATAACATCTCAAATTTGAACTACAGTAGAACCTCACCAATTCGATCACTCCAGGGACTGGGCAAAAGTAACCTACTCAGTGAGGTGACCTGATTACTGAAACAGGTCGTCTGATTCAGGTCACTGAAGTAATGTTAAGGGCATTGGTAATCGGTAAGGGTGATGAGCATTCAACAACCATACTTCGCAATCTCATTAAAGGCATTGTCACATTTAAAACAAAAGCTGTCATGTATTCAACCTACCTTTTGAAAATGCATCCAACTTGTGTTCTGCCAATGTCTTAGATCACAGCTAATTGTCTATGCCTTTTGCCCTTACTGTTTTTGATTAAGTCCACTCTCTCAAGTAAGGATGACTCCTTCTGTGGTGGCATGTTTACATTTGTCAACAGTCTCTAAATCAAAACGATGTACATACAAACCACGTGCTCCGAATACAGCACTTACCAAGAATTGGCTGCGGGCGCCGGGGCAAAGTTGATTTTCCATGATCCCAACACTTCCCGTGCCGTGCAACCGGAGCCCACTCCGCCCAGAGTAGCAGTGTTGAGGAAACAGCGCGAGAAGCCCGAAGCCTAGTGCACTGTGTACAGGTTAGTGGCGATGGGGAGTGTTTGTACTGGAGGAGGGCGATGTAGCGGCTGTAATCAATGACCGTTGTCCTGAATAGTGAGATGCCCGGTTTACTGAAGCAGACGGCCTATCTTTTAACATTGACAATGAAAGACACTGTGAAAATGTGCCCGCAATTGTGAGGTGGCTGGATTATTGAGGTGACCGCAAACCGGGTTTCTACTGTATATAGAATTCGAGGGCCTCAACCAGAGTTTAAAAGATCCAAATCCTGATAACTTTGCAAACTTTCACAAATTCATTCTTTTTTGACAAAACCTAAATAATGTAAGCAATGGATGACAAGTCAACATTAGTAATCATTTCCAAGATATCTCACCTTGTATTCAACATAACTCACCTGCAACATACTAACAATCTCCACTTTGTTGAAAAATATAAAAGAAGTTAGTGTGGACAGAAAGTTCTCCTCAAAAACAGACGGGGTGGGCAATATGATGTCCTGGATGTACTGCACACGATACGTTTGGTGGATTTTTTGCTTCAGTTCAGTGTCTGTGATAGGTATCACCTCTTTAAATTTGGCTGTTTTGGTCAAGAATTCTCTGTGCTTCCTCGTTTGAGGTAAGGAAGGATCATACTCCAAACACCCCACCACGTCCATAATGCACTCATCTGAAAACATAACCTCAAACAATGCTGCCTTATTGAGGAACAAAATGCCTCTGATAATTTCGTATAAATGATGTAGACCTTCTGTGTTCTCAAGGTCCTCGCAAACTTGGAATAGCTGCAGCAACTTTTTTATGTAGCTCTCATTCTCCAGAGCCAGTGCTAACTTCTCCCTTCGAATAGGAGAGGAGAGAACAGAGGTCACAAGGTCAGCAATCTCTTCCAGTTTGTTTAGTTCACATGGAGGAAGGTCAACTGTATGAGTAGTTTCAGGCATTTCTTCAAAGCGTTCCTCTTCAGATTCATCAATGATGTCCTGAGTGATATCCAGTGATGGATCTCGGCCCTGCACCTGGAAAATGTCAAAATAGAATGAATTTGAAACAAGTTAATATTACAAATTCAATACAAGACTTTAATAAATTATATAATTATTGAAAGGAATACTTAGTAAACACCAGTGATATACCAACTAGATAATGCAGTGCAAACATCATGAAAGATAGTTACTGAAAATCATACTTGCATACGGCAGATGACATGCCTGATATCATATTAATAGGTTGAAATCATCTTTCAATTTTACTAACCTCACCATCTTCTCATTAGATCATTGGATGGTCTACTTATGTTTTGGCATCAGTCTTTAAATCCTGCTACTATTAAGATCTGCATTTCAAGTCTCCGGACTCATCTAAGAGCCTCTTAACAGCTGTGTTCTCAGTCAGTATTGACATTTCTCAGCTCAGATGCCAGGACTGAAAAACATACTGATCTGTATTACCTCCTGCAGAGTTGCTTGCTGGTAGGTCATTACTAGATGTCAGACTAATACTCTTGTGGGCTTGGAGACAGAAAAAGGTTTACGTCTGGTCATTTCATTTACCTTTTAACCTTATAGTTTTTATAAAATCTTTGTTTGCTTGTGTTGCTTCTGGCATTGCCTGGAAAACTTAAATGACGCCGAGGCACCAACACCCATTCCTCTTTGCAATCTGCAAATTGTGTTAGATATCATTGAACTGTTAAGATTATAAGGGATATTTTCCACTGAACTATGTAAAGGTTGCCTTTTCTCGATAAGGAATTTTTGCATATAACACAGCAAAATACATCTATTTCTGTGCCATTCTTAATTACTTTGTGACTTGTACACTTTGTTAATTTTATGCCCGAGTTATAATACTTGTATTTGATATCACATATAATATTGAAATGCCTCAATGCAATTTACAAGGAATGCTGTCAAGTGCAATGAATGTGTATTTGTAGGCAACCATGCACAGCAAGTTCCTACAAACAGGCATGAAGTGAATAATTAATCCATCTGGATAATCGTTAGCCAGGGCACCAAGAGAAATGCTTCTCTTCAAATAGTGTCCCAGGATCTGTGAAGTCCACTTGAACAAACAGACAGGTTTAGTTTTTGTTGGATGAAAGGCATCTACAACAATGCAACATTCCCCCAGAACTACAATGGAATTATCAACTTGGACTATGAGCTCAACATGAGGCTTGAACACAATTTTCAAGAGGCGGGAGTGCTACCAATTGAATTAAGCTGATCTATCTATTAATGACAGTTACTTCATTAATGGTTCAAGGTCCATTTTTTCCTCAAAATCTTCCATGAATCTCATATTTAGAAAGGAAAAATAAGAAGAATCCTTGCATTTGGTATAGAGCCTTATCATGTTTGAAGGATATATGTCAAAGCACTTCACAGGATTTACTGTGAAAAGGAGTGACTGTGTTTGTAAGCGAACACAGCAGACCAATTGCGCATAGTAATGTCCCACAAACAGCCATATATGAATCAATACTTGCATTTGTTATAACTTATGTATGAAGTATGTATTTATGAATTAAATGTATATCAGAGAATGTATGACGCAATAATAAGTACTTAATAATGACCTTAGGTGCCCATATTTGCAATATTTATTTTAATTAGCTAGTAACTGTCCATCTATAAATATTAAGTTTTTAAAGCGAAAATGTATGCTAGCTCAAAGGGCATACAGCCTAGTCACAGGTACAATGGCAGGCCAAATGCAATGTTCAGGTAATGAAACATGCAACATAAAGAAACATGTTTAAAGATGGTTTTGAAGAAAGTGACAGGTGAAAGGTTTTCTGAAAAATTCCAGAAAGTGCATGCAGATAGGTCAGCTACCAAATGGTGAAGGTGAAAGACGTATAGGAAACCTGAGTTAGAGGGCTCAAGGGAGAATCACTATTTTGGGGGGGAGGGGGGTCGGCCAGGTGTCTGATGCACGCGGAAACCCATCACCATGCTGAGGAGTATCCAAACCAAGCTGAGATTTCCATGCAACCAACCTACACATGGAAATCCCAGAGATGGGTTGCTGGAATGGAATGCTCACTCTCTCCCTGAAGGGACGCATCCTGCTTACCTAATTCTGGAAAGTATTGGCCGCAATTTGGAAGAGAATGGACATGGAGATGCAAAGGTAGGGTGGGCAAGAGAAGGAAGAGATTTGAAGAACAGGGCAAGGTTGTTTATACATGGGGGGGTGAAGAGAGAGGGGACATCCCTGGTTAGTAACCAGAATTTTTGCTCCATTTCTAACTCATCCATGTTCAGCAAGTTACTGTGCAATATTCCCAAACCTGGCAATCCCAAAGTTTTTACAAATTGTTAAAGAGTTATACAACAGCGATCAATAAACTCCTGCCCTCAAACAATTTAGCTTAAGTCTGGCATATGGGATGTAGGGAATTAAGGAGACAAAGTAAATAAAAGTACAATAAAACAAAAATATTCAGGATTGAATTGTACATAAAGGCGACCAGTAACTAAGCTAATATATCAGTTAATAGTAACAAGAACGAATTAGAAAAGCTAATTGCAGATAAATAGAAGCGTTTTTAAAAAAAATACTAAGATAGCGTTACAGGCTGCATCAGTTCTTCAATGCATATTAGGAATAAATGTCTAGAAAAGTAACCAGATAACTTTAGAATTAACACCATCAGAGGTCCAAAGATAGTAAATGATATTCAGAAAAAAAGACAGATATGACTCTGGAAACTGTGGAGCAGTTATTCTAACAGGTGTAGTGTAGAATGTTTTGGGTTTACAGATGCAATTTCAATGATAGCATGGATAGGAACACATAATTAACAGAATCCAAAATAGTGTGGCAATTCCGCAATATCAGCATTCAGTGAATCCAATTAAAATATAAAAATGGTGAAAAATACCAATGTCACAACATGTTGTGCCAATGTAGCAGTGGTAAATTAGCATGTTCCTGATCTGCCATGTTACAACAGAAATATGCAAAATGGAAGGCTGGGCTCTACCCCATAGGTAGGAGAGGAAAAGGCATCATCAATGGTCGCTCACCCCTGGAAGCTAGTCACACTTCTGCCAGACCATACCACCAGTGGCATAGAGTTCCAGTAATGTTGGCATCACAACAAACTAGGATCAGATTCCTTGCTTTATGCAGGTATAAACTCACATTACTCCAGATCTGTGACTCACAAATGAAGACTACAATTTAAGATCACTTTGCCTTGCATACATTATGCAGACACTGAAACTACAAATAAAGGGGCAGTCAGCCAGAACAGTGGTTTAAAATTCAATTTGTAGAGAAATGTCAAGATAATCACCTTAATTTTAAATAGGCTTTCAGAATACTGACAAGCCAAATCAAGATGGAACGCAAAAAAACAAACCACTCCAAAACCAAAATAATTATAAAATTATTAAACAGTATGGTAACTGAAAAATATTAAGTGTGATATCTGTACACAACTCACTTTGATAGCAAGTTATTCAATTATCCTCAACAGTCACTGAGCTCTGTGTATGAGAAGTTTCTCTTACATACACAACATCACAACAACAAAATTACATTTGTAAAGCGCCTTTCACGTCAGAAGGACGTCCTAAGGAGCTGGACAGACAGAGTTACGGACCCGCGCTGGGGAACGATGGAGGGTGGGGGGTGGGGGAAGCAGGAAGATCGAAAGCATGGTCAAAGAGGAGGGTCTTGAGATGGGTCTTGAAGGTGGCAAGGGAGGGGGGTGAGGCGGAGGCACTGCGGGATGGAGTTTCAGAGGGTGGGGGCAGAGTGGCGGAAGGCCCGCCTGCCAATAGTGGGGCGAACGAGGCGGGGGGATGTGAAAGAGGCCGGAGCCCGCTGACTGGAGTGAGCGAACAGGATGGTAGGGGTTAGGAGGTCGCAGAGGTAGTGGGGAGCAAGACCGTGGAGGGCTTTGAAGGTAAGGACCAGGATCTTGAACTGTATCCTCTGTGTGATGGGAAGCCAGTGGAGTTGGGCGAGGATGGGGGTGATAGGGTCGCGGAGCCTAGTGCAGGAGAGAACACGGGCCGCAGAGTAACATCCTCCTGACGTGAAAGGCGCTTTATAAATGGAATCTTGTTGTTGTTGTTGTAACATAGCACTGGTATAGAAACGATGGGCCAAATGACCTGCTACTTTCCTATACTAGGAAAATGTCAACAGAACTTCAGTTCTGCATTTTTTAAAAAAAAATCTATTCTCTATTTTTCACCAGAGCCCACGTGCTCAGAGGCAACTTTTAACTCCATCTATAATCAGTTCTTAACGCTGCACAAGAATAATCTGAGAACTTCACCGCTATATTTTCTCTCTCCCTAGGAGGGAAATACGCTAATTCTGAGGATGGTCTGTGCAAGCCTACACCACTCAGTATACTGACACTTCCAAACATTTTGATATGGGTAAGCCCTTCCACAAGAGGCATCTAATGCTTCCAAGTAATCTTAATATAACTACTGCAATTGTACATTAATAGTGGGTACCACAGGAGCAACATTGCACCATTCGGCCCATCAAGTATACTCTACCATTGTACATATTATAATCAATTTCCTATCTGGAGCTAGGCGCTTTCTTGTGAAGGGAGGAAAGGAAGAATTGATTAGAGAGGTAGTTGTCACATATCTAAAGCACCAGGATGCAAAGAAAGACTGGATAGATGTAACCAAATGCAAAATGGTTTCAATAAGTTGCATTTATACAGCATCTTTCATGTAGGAAAAGGTCTCAGAACGTCTCACAAAGGAAAACAGACCTGGCAAGCAGCAGCTGTCTTGGATAAACAGATGGGTAAATAACATTGTATGTAGGTATTTTTCAAATAAACTGCAAAATGATGAACAGGAGTTGGATCTGCTTTTGAAAAAGCAGATGACAACTTAAGTGCCGTCTCTACTGATCTGAAAAGAAAAACGTACAATTGGAATAAAGTTTGCACCGAATGCCCCCTTGCTGAAATTAGACTAATTGAAAACCCAACTGGTCTTTTAAAAACCTGTGGAAGTCAAGAAAGGTTGTTATGCAACAAGAGAAATAAGTTTTTAAACTTATGTATGGCACGTTCCAAATTTCATTTTAAAAAAATATTTTGAATTCATATTTTAAATGTCTTGAAGACGTGATAAGGATCTTTATCAATTGCAAGGATTATTATTTATCTGAAAATCTGAAAAACATCATAAACCTCTCTCTGTCCACTGGGACTGTTCCCACCCCTCTAAAAACGGCCATCATGCCTATCCTTTAAAAAAAACCTCCCTGGACCCATCCCTGCTCTCAAACTACCACTGCATCGCCAATCTCCCTTTCAAGGTCCTGGAACGAGTCATTGCTTCCCAGCTTCGCTCCTTCCTCTCTCGCCACAAACCCTTCGAATTGGGTTTCCATGCTGTCCACAGCACAGAAACAGCTTTGGTCAAAGTGACAAATGACATGTCGTCTATCTGCGACCAGGGCTACCTCTGCCTCCTCGTACTCTCTGCTGCCTTTGATATCATTGACCACTCTATCCTCCTCCACCGCCTCTCCTCTCACCTCAATCTTTGTGGTTCTGTCCTTGAATGGTTCAGATCCGACCTCTCATACCGTCTCCACTTCATCTCCATAAGCAGTTTCTCCTTTAGCCCCACACCATCTCGTGAGGTGTTCCTCAGGGCTCTGTCCTTGGGTCACCCCCCTTCAATATCTATATGCTCCCTCTTGGTGACATCATCTGCAGACATGGGGTCAACTTCCACATATATGACACACAATTATATCTCTCTGCCTCCACTCTAGACTCTAGGAACGTTGCTGTCCAGACAGAATGTCCGTTAGACATCAAGTCCTGGATGAGAGCTAACTTTCTTCAGTTGAATGTCAACAAGACTGAGGCTCTCCTGATTGGCTCCCATCAGCGCCTCCACACCTCAGGCGCTGACAGCATCACCATCCTTTCTGCCCCACACCTGTGCAATGACATTCCCCCACCTCTGCAACATCACCTGGCTCCACCACGTCTCACACCGCAGGCTGCCAAAATCCACATACACGCATTTGTAACATCCAGGTTTGACTATGCAAACTCTCTGCTTGTCAGACTCTCCAACTCCTCCCTCCATAGGTTGCAGATCACCCAGAACTCTGCAGCCCGTGCCCTCTCCCGCACCATGCTCTGTGACCCTATTACCCCCATCTTCGCCCAACTCCACTGGCTTCCTATCACACAGAGGATACAGTTCAAGATCCTGGTCCTCACCTTCAAAGCCTTCCATGGCCTTGCTTCTCCTACCTCTGCCACCTCCTAACCCCCTAGCGACCTGCCCGCTCCCTCCACTCCGCGGGCTCCGGCATGCTTCACATCTGTCGCCTCGCCCGCCCCACCATTGGCAGGCGGGCCTTCAGCCACCCTACCCCCACCCTCTAGCACTCCATCTCGCAGTCTCTCTGCCTTGCCCCCTCCCTTGCCTCCTTCAGGACCCATCTCAAGAAACTTCTCCTCGACCTGCCCTCCACCCTCCTCGATCCCCAACTCAAGTCTGAAACACTGATTGTCCAATTCCTTTGGGTGTCCTCCCGACGTAAAAGGCACTATACAAATGTAATTTTGTTGTTTTATTGGAACCACTAATGACACTAGTAACAAATCAAAAGATTACTTTTGTAAATTATTTTTTCCAAAATCCAAACGATCATTCAAACACAATTGTTCTGAAGTGCTTTTAAACCTCATACCTATAGTAAAGCTTCAACTTCAGTTTTGTACAACCACATGCCCAATCAAAGTGAAGGAGACTAAACACCTCCCTCCTCCAAAAATGCTTCAAGCAGCTCATCTTCACAATGCAGGTGCAATTGTACCTCTATCAAAAAACCCTCAGCCATGCTTTCATCACTTCCAAGCTTGACTATGCCAATGCCCTTCTTGTGGACTCCCAGCACTTCCTTGGAGCCTGTGTCCTTTCCCACACCATGCTCAGTGAGCCAATCACCCCCATCCTCAGTTATGAAAATAAATGGTACAGCAATGGATACTAATGTCTTGTTTTTAGAGTAGTGGAAGCATACTCATTATTTTTGATGGGGAGGCATGACTTTTGTCCATATGTAACAAATGAAGAGGGCCGGAGATTTTTTTTCATGAACAGAGTTAGAATATGAAATAGCCCTGGGAGAAGTAGCTGAAGCAGAATCCTTTTTAGCTTTCAAAAGTTAACAAATATCTAAAAAAAACAAGTAAACTACAGGCGTATGGGGAAAGGGCATGTAAATAGGACTGAAAGGATTGCTCTTTAAAAGAGCCAACACAGAAACAATGGGCCGAATGGATTTCTGTGCTGTAAATTATGGTTCTATATTGTACTCTGTTCACTGCTTTCCAACTGCCTGTAAAATTTCCAGTTTTAGCAAATCTGCTTTTATCTAACATTAGAAAAATCAAAATGCAAAACTCAAAAGTGGCTTTGCTGCACTTACACGGATTCTTTTTTGCTGCAATGCAGAACAACCTTTGTAGTGTCAAGAAAGAAACATGAACCAAGATATTTATTTTTGCTTTTTTCTGTTTGTAGGGGACAAGTTTCAAAAACGTAATGAGTAGGGTTGTGGATGCGAGTTATGGGCATAAACATAATGCTGATGCTCTCATGCATTATATGCTGAATAGTGCTGTTGACCAAGAGGCTCAAAAGGAATTCCTGGTACCACCTGCAAGGACTCAGCCAATGCCTACCAGATGATTAGGGACTATTATCCACAGAAAGGGGAAAGGTGAGTTGGGTCCCCTGGAGGTTCAGTTCAATTCAATGTGATGTGCCTGGCAATGAAATATCAGAATCACAGCAATTCTCTGAGGTAGTCTCATAAGTCCTGTTACTGAACAAGGTGATATGCAGTACCTCAGGATACTGTTGGTGACAAGCCAGCCCAGCTCATCAGCAAAAATTGAAGGGGCAGACCAGCCACTGGGGACAGGAATTCTTCCCACTGGGCTCATGTTAATCATGCAAGCCAAAGTCATTAATGGATGGGGTGATCCTACCTCGATAATCTCCAACAGTACCCCAAAGCACATTCATGGGACCCGAGGCCTTGCTAATCTATACCTATTACTTTCCAGAATTAGCAAGTAAGGTACATAACTCCGGGAGAGAAAATGCACACACTATTCCAAAGGGATATTTTCATACATAGGAGGAAATGCATGTTGAACTTTGTCTGGTTTGGATACTCAAGCATAGCGATAGCTTTCAGCTGCGTGAGCCTCCTTGCTGACCAAAAAACAATCTAATTTACCACTATGAACAAATCTTATACGGATTAACCACTGGTACTACTCACCAGTACCACTATGACTAATTCAATTTTCAACTGTTACCCAATAGGGTCTGTGGACAAAAATACAAATTCCCCTAGCTCTCCACGAAATAATACAAATGTGCTAGGGTAGGCACTGTTCAAATTCATCTCATTTATTCCTACGAAGTGCTTGGTGTGTGTACAATATGTTAAGTCTGAATCATTAATTGCAATCAAAACGGTTCGCTTCAAAAGTTTTGGTTCTGAAAGTACTAAGTAAATTTTCCAATATGGATTTCAACTAAGGAACTAACCTTAACTGCCTTTTTGTAACTGATACATTGTTAGTAGAAATTACTGGAGCTCTACATTGCAATTACTAATTATGCCATACAAACAACCCCCTTTAATATACTAAAGCAACCAATAAATAAGGGCTTTTAGATCTCTGCGGGAACAAGATCACCTTCTATTTTAGAATGCCAAGCATCCCGATTTTCCAGTTTACCCAAACAAAAACCACAAGAACACTGACCAGTAACTTACATTTAAACAAACTATTTTTAATACGAGACAAGATAATAAAATTAATTGTATAAACTGACATACATGGAGAAAATCTCAGACCAATTGATGACATGAAGTTCAACAACAAACATAAAAGCCTCTATATCTTCAAACTCTTAAAATCACACCACCTACAATGATCTTTACTTTACAACATACATGTTTATTTCTAAAAAGCTAACATTATGCTTTTCAACTTATGAATGCAGTTAGAAAATGTACTGAATGGTACTCCAAAATTTATAGTTCCTAACAAAACACAAATACATTTTACATATATAGAAATTAAACACACATATTTGCCTCCCAAAAAGCAACTACAGTGTGTGTTGCGCAAAACAGGAATAATAAGTATACACCAGATGTGTTTACTACACAATTTATTGGGTTTCAAATATTAGAATATTATCTATTATTAGTTATAATTCTCCCTTATAACTTTCAACTCAAATGTTAATCACAATTTGAATAACCTACTGCTCTTTTCCAAACTGGGTTCAAAGTAAAAACAATCCTTGCATTTGACATAATGCTTTATCACGGCGTTGAGACGTCTCAAAGAGCTCCACAAGTTTTTACCGTAATGACTGTATATTTGTAGGTGAAAGTATGGAATGCAGGACAGATTGTACTTATGCTATCTGATATAATTATGGTTGTGTATATACTGTACCTGGCAAATTTTCTCCCAGATTTCATCGCATCCAGCTTTTTCTTGAAAGCTTAAAGCCAAGTCGTAATTATCCGCTTCTGACCAAACAATCAATGTATCCTGTATTGCAAAACAATAGAGGTCACAATTGATTCTTCACCTGGAAATCATATGAAGCTAACTGCTCATGAAATATTCCACTCATGAGCCATTTAGGTCACATATATTGCTTTGTGCAGTTATTTTAAATTTAAGTATTAGAATGAAGTACCATTCAAAAATAATCTGCACACAATCAGCACTTACAACCTACATTGCTGGGCAATCATGAAATTTAAGATAAAAAATACGTAATTAAGTGTCCATCATTTTGATGATGAGTGAGTTATCCCTTGGCTACCTCGATTCATTGACGAGAAAATTACAGTTAAAAAAACCGCAACAGCTCCTGTGGCATAGCTCTTGAGACGAGATCCTTGCGTGCACAATATGTTACACAACTTACTTGCTGTTTCTGATAAGCAGTATTCGGATTGATCTTTGATTCCAACAGAAGGGATCCTGCGGGGAGGGGTGGGGGAGGAGAAAGACTTTAAAAAAAAACAGTCAGATGTAAAATACATCTCCCACCTGCTCTACACCACTGCTGATCATACATGGTAACATTGCTGTATTTAAATCTGCTCACCCTTTCCTCTCCAGCACCCCCCCCCCCCCCCACCCGTTCCAAAACGCACTCACTCACGCACTTTTCCTGCTTATGCATCACGCACATCTTCAATACCATCCCCGCACTGTATTCTTTACGAACCCTCAGTCAGTCAAAAAAAAAGTATTGCGGAAGAAAATAATACATGTAAAACAAACCCGATTCAGGGCCATTTTCCAAGGAGACAACAGTTAATTGCACGTTTTTGTTTGGTTAAACGTGCAATTGCATCTTCTCTCTCTCTCCCCCCCCCGCGCCCTCCCCCCCCCCACCACCACCGCCACCCCTCACAACCCATTTTCCTCTCGCGGGCCTCGGTTAAATAAATGCCCTTCTCACGGCAGCTCTTACCGTCGGACTCGGCGCGGACCAGCAAGGACATCCCATTGAGCCGGTCCACGTAGGTGGAAGACACATGCCCGGTGCCCCTGTCGTCCCATTGTCGATCCTCGTTCAGCGTGTAGACTTTCACCCGCCTCCGCGTATCCGACATGGTGCTCCCTCCCTCCCTCCCTCCTCTCCTCTCTCGCTTTATTTTGTTTATCGCCTGCTTTTTTCTCTCTCTCTCTCTCTCTCGCTCCTCCGGTAAAAGAGACGTCCTTCACCCACCGTCTCTCTCTCTCTCTCTCTGTTCGGGTACGTCTGTTGTGTGTGTGTTGTGTATGTTTTTTTTCTCTCTCTCTCTCTCCCTCCCTCTCCCCTCCTCCTCCCTTCTTCTAGTTCTTCTCCGCCGCGATATTACAATGAGAAGGGAATCGCGAACCGAGCGATAACCGACATGTTGTCACGACTCGACTCGAGGGGAGGAGGAGGAGGATGTTGGGTCAGTGAGATAACGGAGGAGAGGGTGAAACGGCGAAAACAAAATGGCAAATGGAAACCCTTCTTGTTTGGGGGAGAGGGGGAGGGGGCGGAGGTGCTGCGGGTGGTAGAGGAGAGAGAGAGAGAGAGAAAAAGAAAATAAAAAGCGAACGTAAAGAGGCAAAGGGCCGGCTCGGGCTCCGGGCCTGGCCTTCCTTTTTCCCCCCTCAGCGAATGCCCCTCTCACCGCAGCGCAACAGCCGCCATCTTGTAACCCGATCCGAGGCGAATCAAGCGGCGAACGGGGTTTCCCGCGCCAGCTCGCAGGGCCCCGGCTCCCTCTCCCCCTCGCACACAACCAGAGCCCGTGACGTCAGCCGCACTTGAAGCCCCGCCCCTCGCCCGCCCGCCCGCCTCATCTGCATATTTAAAGAGACCCTCTCGTTTCGGTTCTTTCATCCGGTCACGTACGAAACGTCCCCCTGAACCGCACCACCTCTCTGCCCACCGCCACCCATCCACTGGTTTTGATCTGTTCTTTTGGAATTTTACTGAAAACCCACTTTTTATAAAAATACATAAAATAGCAACCCAACCGAAGCAGTATTTACTACATTATTAGATTTTATATACTATGAATTCCAAAAGTCTGTACGATCCATCATTTTTCCTTTCAGACATTTGTGTTTGGATGTGAATGAAACTGGGCGGCTTTAGTCCATTTTACCCAACGACTGGATTGCATTCATGGCTGTTGTGGGATATAACTGTGCACAAATAGGCTGCCACCTACGTCTACAAAATACAGTCACTGCACTAACCCTACAAGCCAAAGGCTTGATGGTACAGTGGTTCTCGCTAACAAGCAGTGGAAAACTACACAGGCAGTGCTCTCAATAACACTATGTGGTTTGAGCTGTTAAACTCAAATAATAGCAAATAAGTAACATATCAAAATGTAAGATTTACTAGTGCTAGTAATCTCATGTTTAACAATTAAGTGTTGCGGTAACACCAGGTTAAACTTTATATTTACTCCAAATATGGAGTGCTGTAGCATGAATTCAAGAACATCATTGAAGCAGTTGTTACCCTTGACATACAAAAGAGTGGTTCTGAAGAGAATAAAAGATATTCCTACCATAACTACACTGTTTTCGCCAAGCATAGATTAGCATAGGCAACATTTAAAAAAAATGTTAGTGGCTTGAATCTGTAATACGCACTGGATTTAAAACGTAGAGAGAAACCCAAGTGAAAAGTTCAAAACATTATTAGAGTTATACAAAAAATATCAATTCCAATTGAATACAACTTTGTATTAGTATGACTATAGAAAAAGGAGATGATTAATGCGTTTTTAAAACTCAATACCCTTAGTATTTTACAAATGTAGAGTAGATCTGTGTGTAAAAAAAGTTTTGAAGTGTTCCATCATTGTTGAAACTGCAAACCCTAGAAATATTGATTAAACTAGTAATTACTGTATTTTGTAGGTGAACATGGCAGCAAACTATGGTTAATTTTGGAATTACACTTCAACTCAATATCATTAATATTTTATTACATCAAACGTTTTACAGGAAGAACACATTCTCAATTACAATAGCAATCAAGGAAAAGATCAGTATACAAAAATGGATTTATTCACTCCTGATTAATATAGAAAATATATTACAATAATTTCCAGCTTGTTTTATTTAACTAAAAAGTCTATTTGGCTGAAAGAGTTATTGGAGTTACCTAATTCAATTTTCATCACTGTTTCTTGTAATAATCTCTAGACAGCTATGAGGAAGCTGTGGATGATGTAGAATTGCTTGTTCCTATCACAATACTGTTTTTATCATTCAGGTTTTTAACTACTGATGTAGCTAGAGATTGTAGTACTTTGCGGGAAAGTCTCATCCTTCCATCTGTGGGGTCCCGGCCAAAATATTTCACCTATGAAGAGAAATATTTGTTTCCATTATACTGTCGCTGCCTTAGCAGTTAAACATTCATTAATTCATTCGTTCCCTTAACTCAGCCTACATTTTTACTGTATATTAACACAGATTTATCGCTGCAGGAGTGAGTGTTACAGGTTGAACACGAGAAGCTTGTGTTTATGTTAGGCTACGAGGAAGTACAGGATCACAGACCAAATGTATCATATCCAGAGTACACATTTTACTCTTAAATATTAATGTGAAACCAATGCAAGATTTGATATTCACATTCTAAAAGTTTTCTCAGGTATTAGAATGAAGTCCAATTTGAGTTGCAACTTGTTTTATTTGTATAAAATCTCATTTTTACCATTTCATCGAAAAAGTTATATTTTATACAAATTTAGGTAATAGGTTAGACTACTAGTAAGAATCCATTACACAAATAAAGGGATTCTAATGCATTATACTGATGTTTAATACCAACTATGAGAAATACCTGAATCTGTTGTCCAACATCTAGTCCAATGGCACTGGGATGCTTGATCTACGAAAAAAGAAATGACAACCTCTACTTAGTAAAATTCAATTGCATTTACAATATAGACTGGCAGAATTCAGACTACATGCACATGGCGTAATTTATTTATTTTTTTACAGTATTTTATTTGTAAAATATATTCAGGTAAGCATCCTCTTACCCTTCTTTGGTCCAGTTGTGAATTATGTAGTAAAACTGGAGTCATATTAGGATATAGCTTCACCATAACTCCTATATCCCTATGCATACCAAAAAAAGTGCACAGTTAATTTGGTTACATCAAGGATAATGCTGTCTGTCAGGCACTCACCTGGACGTTCTCAGGGCTATACGAGCATATTTAACGACAACCCAGTTTGCCAGCTTGGACCCATTTCTCTGCATCAACAGTCCTCCTGGTCACCTCTATAATGTGCCCATGTCATTCATTAATTCTTGCGCTTTTGGTTGACTAGAAAATTAGTGCTGGTCAAAAGCCTTTTTTTTAAAACAAAAGTAACATAACCCTAACTTCAAAATAGACAGTGATAGCAAGAAGAGGGAAATGTCCCACACTCAGGCAGACTTGGTTTAATGTTTTATCCAAATAATGGCATCTCCAACCAGCAGCATACCCCCAGCAATGCCCTGCAGTGTCAACCGAGACTGTACGAGTTTTAATTCCTGAAATGGGGCTTCAATCCACAAACGTTTATCTCAGAGGCGAGAGTGATATCAATAGATCCATGAAATATATTTGGGCTGTAAAATGAGCATGGTTATTATTGTCCTGCCTAGTCATCTTTAAAAGCAATGATTTCAACAACAACAAGATTACATTTGTATAGCGCCTTTCACGTCGGGAGGACGTCCCAAGCAGGTACATATGACACAAAACTTAGGAGTTTTCAGGTTTGGAATAAAGTCCTTTCTGTTCCCTACACGTTGAAACAGTGTAAAAGCTTTAGTGCAGATTTACCGTATTTCAGTTATGGTGGCAGTGTAAACTGCTCCAAATTCAAGCTGCTGTTCTTGCTGTAGAAAAAAGAAAAAAAATTACCTTTGCTAAAAGAAAATAAAGCAAACAAATGTGTGGACTAAAATAGACACATTCAGGGCTGGACTTACATCATCCTTGCAGAGTTCACTGATGAATTCACTAGCTTCATGCATAGCATTTGGAGTTGGTGCAAACACGGAGAATGTCTCCTCATCTATCTGAGATATCGTAACACCTATGTAAGATACAGAACAAATTATTTAAACTTTAATCCTTTTACTAGTTATATTATACATCTATCAGATATAAAGGGTCATTCAAACAAGTAATCTAATTAGGTTTATCCTCCAACTATTGACATGTAGGTGAATCCTGTTTATCCAGCGTCTTGGGACGTCCGCCCGACATGAAAGGCACTCTACAAATGTACTTTGTTGTTGCTGTTTAAATCTCAAATGCAAATTTATGAGACAAGAATTTTATATTTCTATAGGGTCATTCACATGAGGAGGATGTCCCAAGACACTTCATATAGCTATCTGGGAGCCCGAGTGTGGAGGGGGATCGTGAAGAGAAAAGAGATAGAAGGGGAGAAGGTAGCCAAAAGTGCAATCAAAAAGATAGGTTTTAATTCACGGCCTGCGATTAAACGGGATAAAATCAGCTAAAAATGTCAATTAGCTATGATAAATGAGCCAAGTAAGAAATGAGCTGATGTCCAAGCATATCATGTGAATGGAAAGTTACTCAACTAAACTCTGTCCAAAAGATGTGCCCTAAACAAAGTTGTATATTATTGAATGAGATTTTACTTTGATTCATTTTGAAATTAGATCATCCTCTCTCCCCATGACGCCTCACGCCAGCGGGCTAACCATGCCTAGCTGACTCCCTCCACCCCCTACCGTTCACTCTTAGTCTCGGCGTGCGCATTTTGGCTGCCGCCACGTACCCGAGCTGCTTCCCTATAATGCTCCCACCCCTGTCCCTTACTCTCCATACTCCCGCTCGGCCCTCCTCTCCTACTGCCCTCCCCGACTCCTATCCCTGCTTGACCCTCTCACTGCCTCTCTCTACACCAGCCTATGAATCCTCCCTCGGTCCTACTGTGGGAGTCTCCACTGGCTGTCCAAACGGCAGCCACTCTGACTGGCCTGTCCCCCATTCTCGCTGCAAGGCTCACTGGTCCCTGACCACGGGGACTAACCTCTCCTCCCTGATCCACATCCCCACCCTCCCTGTCAGGTCCCCCCCACATTCCGGCACCAATTGTCCCCTCTGCATCGGCCTACAAAATGTCCGTTCCCTCCCCAACAAAACACTCACCATCCAAGACCTCAATGTCGATGAAAACATCAACATTTTCGCTCTCACTGAAACCTGGGTCACTCCAGGCGAACACCTTCCCCCTGACGGAGGCCACACCACCCAGCTACACCTTCACCATACCCCACGACCTAACCGCTGTGCTGGCCATGTGGCTCTCATCTCCCCGTCCTCACTCGGCTTATGCCCTTACTCTTCTGGAACCTTCCCCTCCTTTGAGCATCCCTCCACCTTTCCCTCAAAATTCTGCTTATCTATCACCCCCCCACCTTCATCCCCTACATCTCCACCCTCCTATCTTCCCTCTTCCTCTGATCTGAATGCCTTCTCATCCTAGGCGACTTCAACCTTTACTTCACCCCTTCCTGCTCTACCTCTGTTGTCTTTTCCTCCCTTATCTCCTCCCTCAATATCTCCCTCCACATTCCACGTCTGTGGTCACCCCCTCAACCTGGTGATCACTCGAGGCCTCACCGTCTCAGACCTCACCATCATCGACAAAGCGATCTTGAACCATTACTTCATCTCCCTTAACCCCTCTCCCCACCGCCACCCAACACACCTTCATCTCCTACCGCCCCTGGAAAAAAATCTCCCCACCATCCTTCTCGGATGCCTTGGAGTCATCTTAACTCCTTCCCCTCTGGGCTTCCTCCCGCAATGACCTATCCTCCTCGGTCACTCTTCTCCACAGCTCCCTCTCTTCCACTCTCGATTCCCTTGTTCCCCTCTCTTCCCAAAGTATCTCCTATTCATGTAAATCACCATGGTACACCAGCAACCTCCGTTCCCTTAAAGCACAGGTGCGTGCTGCTGAGCGCCCCTGGCTTAAATCAAACTTAACGGTCCATCGGCAGATCTGGCTGGACCATATCAAATCCTACCGCTCCGCCCGCGCCTCTGCTAAATTGTCATTCTATTCCAAGACAATGTTGGAGGCTTAGGATAACCCCAGGCTCCTCTTCTCCATCACAAACTGGCTCCTCCGCCCACCCTCTCACACCTCACCCATCCTCACCTCAGATGCCAACTGCAAGGCGATGCTGGACTTCCTCGAATCCAAAGTTGGAATCCATTCAGCTGCCTCTGCCATTGCATCTGCTATCCCTTCCCCATCTCCTCCTCCTACCTCAGCCCTCACCCCTCCACACCTTTGAACCTGTCTCCCCCTCCTCTCTCATCACCACCATAACCGTATGAAATTGACCATCTGTTCCCTCGACCCCATCCCTAACTCTCTCCATACCTCCCAGCTCCACCTCCTTGCCCCTCTACTCACTGACATCATAAACCTCTCCCTGTCCTCTGGTACTGTTCCCACTCCATTAAAAAATGCCGTCATTACTCCTATCCTTAAAAAAACCCTCCCTGGTCCCTTCTGTACTCCCAAACTGCTACTCCATCTCCAACTTCCCTTTCCTCTCCAAGGTCCTGGAACAAGTTGTTGCTTCTCAGGTTCGCTCATTCCTCTCCTGCCATTCCCTTCTCGAACCCCTCCAATAGGATTTCTGTGCTGTCCACAACACAGAAAAAAGCCCTCGTCAAAGTAACAAATTAAATTCTGTCCATCTGCGACCAGGGCTACCTCTGCCTCCTTGTCCTTTCTGCTGTTTTCGAAACCATCGACCACTCTATCCTTATCAACTGCCTTTCGCCTCACCTCAACCTTCATGGCTTCATGGATCCTACCTCTCACACCGCCCCCCCACTTCATCTCCACAAACGGTTTCTCCTCCAGCCCCCACACCATCTCATGTGGCATATCCTTGGTCCCCTCCTCTTCAATATCTACATGTTCCCTCTTGGTGACATCATCTGCAGATATGGGGTCAACTTCCACATGTATGCAGATGACACCCAATTCCACCTCTCTGCCTCCACCCTTGACTCCAGGACCACTGCTATCCTGACAGAATGTCTTGGATGAGAGCTAACTTTCTTCAGTTGAATGTCAACAAGACCGAGGCTCTCCTGATTGGCTCCCGTCAGCGCCTCCTCACCTCAGGCACTGACAGCATCACTATCCATGGTTGCTCACTCCACCTTGCTAAACCAGTCTGGAACCTTGGCTTCTTGTTTGACCCTCAACTATCCTTTCTACCCCATATCTGTGCCATGACCCACTCTGCCTTCCCCCACCTCCGTAACACTGCCCGGCTCCGCCACTGTCTCACACCGCAGGCCGCCAAAACCGTCATACATGCTTTCATTACATTGAGGCTCGACTAATCAAATTCAATGCTTGTCGGTCTCCCGAACTCCTCCCTCCACGGGCTGCAGATCATCCAGAACTCTGCAGCCTGGGTTCTCTCCCACACTAGGCTCCACAATCCTATCACCCCATCCTCGCCCATCTCACAGAGGATATAGTTCAAGATCCTGGTCCTCACCTTCAAAGCCCTCCATGGTCTTGCTCCCCCCTATCTCTGCGACCTCCTTACCTCCTACCATCCTGCTCGCTCCCTCCACTCAGCGGGCTCCGGTCTGCTTCACATTCCCCGCCTCGCTCGCCCCACTATTGGTGGATGTGCCTTCTGCCACTCTGCCCCCACCCTCTAGAACTCCATCCCCCAGTTCCTCTGCCTGCCCCCTCCTTTGGTCCTTCAAGACCAATCTCAAGACCCTCCTCTTCGACTGTGCTTTCAATCTCCCTGCCCTCCAGAGTATACAAACCAAGCTGAGATTTCTATACATCACTCTGCATGGAAATCCCAGAGTTAGATTGTTGGAATGGAATGCGCACTCCCTCCCCGGAAGAACGTATCCTTCTTACCCAATTCATGAAAATATTAGACGCAAGTTGGCTAGAGCCAAGGCTTGGGGACCCCAGAATGTGTGTTGGGGTACTGCTGCAGTCTAATCAAATAAAACCGCATAGCTGGCCATTGATGTTGCTGTCTGGCACACTTTCCCACTGCTTGTCCAACTAGGACCACCCTACCCATTAGGGCTTTGGCTTGAAGGATTAACAGGAGCTGAGTGACTGGTCTGCCCTTCCAGGTCCTGCTGATGTGCTGTCATCAGCAATGTCTTGCAATACTGCGGACCTGCCTGGGTCAGGAGCCGAACTAGAAACAGTGGGAGGGTGTGCTCGATTCTGACATTCCATTGCCAGGGATGTCACTTGGAACAAGTTCAGCTCCAAGGAGACCCTGCTTACCTCCTCTCCAAGAGGATAGTCACTAGTTGGTCGTTCGACAGCCGACAAGCGCAGGTTTGAGCCCTTAATAGGTGGATGGTAGGTACAAGGAACTCCCTGCAAGCTTCCTAGGGGGCAACAAATCTCAACATGAATTGCATCACAGCATTGCCACCATCTTCCTGTCCATAGTTCAAAGTGAGAGATAGCCCAGTCAAAATGTGAGGGTCGATTATTCTGTCAGCCAATCAAGACCAGAGCAAGCAAAACTGCTAATAATAAAAAAAGGTCATATTACTTGTAAGCCTTTTTGACTCTTGATGTAATATTCTAACTCTGTAACCAAGGCTCTTTTAAAATGCAAGATTCAGCCCTGCTACAGGCTACATTACTGTGTTCAACATTTAGACCTTTGACTTAGCTATAGTGGATAAAATGATTGAGACATTACATTCTCTGTTACTAAATAGTTGAAATCTTCTTGGTCAACCAAATGTTAAACCTGGTTAGATCAAGGTGGCTTTGTCAGATTCATTAATTTATTTTGATTCTGATAAGGAAGCTGGTCAGCCAAGCTAAGATATTAAATCTGAAATGGGAATATGATGCAAGACTATTTAGAACTTTTTCAGAATCACTAAATTATCAATTCTTAGATATTGTAATGATCTCCCTAAGTCACTTAACCTTCTGGGAATTTTTAATCTTTTAACATTGAACAAGTGGTGCCTGTATTAGATAGATATATACTGAACTGATATTCACTACCTAGTTTCATATATTCTGAACATTACTGAGATATAACAGATCACATTTTCTTATAATATGCAGAGAATTTAAAATTGCACACGGGCATCTTTTACAGCAACAGAATGTCTGCAAGAGAATTTCTGCTGCAAATCCAATAACATTTAGCTAAAAGAATGGAATATTTTTAGATTTTAAGATTCTGTTTATGAACACACTAAAATATTGTAACTTTTTACATCATTAAGTATCCCAATAGTAATTTTAATAATCGCTGAACACAATTTTAAATCCCACGCTCCTTTTGCAATAGATAGCTACAAAGTTAGTGATTGATAATATAGGGCAATACTGTACCAAAATATGCATTATAGTGAAGAACTGCTACATTACCAGTTTGGAATTTGAACAGTGTATATTTTACTGTAATGTAACAACATGTACATTGTTGTCCACTTTCTTTGCAACACACATTATTACGACTTGTAATCTTTGTTCTAGAATTACCTCCACAATCCAGGGAGCGTTATGAACTTTGTTACTTTCTCTCCATCCCTGTACCACATCCCATATCCTGAGAAGGGGCTATAGAAAAACGCAAGCTCCCATGTCTCTCTGCTGGTGCCCATCCAAATATTACATTGCAGACTCATTACTTGCAAGCAGTAATATAAACAGACCAATGTAAAGAAAGCATAAATATAGAATGGAACAGTATTTCGTGTTTTTTATGTGTAAATTTCTGAACAATCCCACAAATTAGGTGTCGAAAGTTGCAATATTCTCGAACTCCAAACAAGATAAAGGACCTTCTTACCTGTTTCAGCCCGAAGTTTCCTTAGATTGTACCCTCCTGGGCCAACAAATCTTGCCCTTTTTGACAATGGTACCTGCACAGTTTCTGGCAAATACATGAATAGGAACATTACTGTTGTAATTTGTACATAGAGCAAAAGTGTACACCAGGAAATGCTCAACGCATAAAACAACGAAACACCATGAATAATCAACTTAAATTTTAAAATATAAAAATATTTAAAATGTAAAATTTTAAAATATATAAAATGTAGACAACACAAATATGATCAGCTCATGGACGAATGATGCTATTTCATATTATTCTTTGTAAGCATCAGTTCAATGTTTGTGCAGCAGATTTGTGCTAAAAATGTAGTACAATTCAACTTTAGGCAACTTTGATTCCGAGCCCTGCTTCCCCCTCTCCCCAAAAAAACACCTCTAGGAGATGGTTTCAGAATGACATCAATGCTGTTAGCTGCACTACAAAAAAATATATTTTTTAATGTTATAAGACAGCACTAAGATTAGAAAGTTAAGCTGGTTTGTCATCAGTTAGCTTCCATTACACACAACAACAACTTGCATTTATATAGCACCGTTTCCTCAGGATACCTCTGAGCTTAACTTAGTGCATGTCCGTAGTTTTGCTCTGCCCCAAGAGACATCAATTCAGAGCAAGTCTTATCAAACCAGTTTCCAATTCGAAATCACTCTCCTGCTCGAACATGACTTCACTAGTGTAAAAGGGAAGTCTGCTAATTTGCAATTCACTGACAAATGTGATGTTTTATGATTTCGGCATATTTTCAAAGGCCCTCCAAAATGTATCATGCATTAAAGCTATTTTCACTGCAGGGATCATCACTTCATTCAGTAAATTAATGTTTCAGTAAAGTGTGTAAAACAGCACATGAATTTCATTTTTTTTAAAAAAAAGACTTACCTACTACTGGCCCATTTTCTTTCCTACTTGCTCTGGGTTTGGCAATTTTTTTATTCATTATGTTTAAGATTTCCTTCTTGGCAACTAATTTTTAAAAAAGACAGATCAGTCATGGTCAGTCAATCCTGCAGATTGCAACTCAAATTACAGCTACAACACCACTACACCAGTGTAAAAGGGAATAAAAAAATGCTCTGTCGCAGTGAGTAAAGCAAACCAGATGTTAGGATGTATCAAAAGAGCAATAGCAAGCCAAAGTACTGGGGTAATCCCACAACTGTATAAATCAATGGTGAGTACTGTGTACAGTTCTGGTCACCACAGTACAAAAAGGATATGGGAGAAATCAAGAGGAGGGAAACCAGAAAGATTGAGGGAATGGAGGAATTGGACAATGAGGAGCGACTAACTGAATTGGGCATGTTCACACTGGAAAAGAGAAGATTGAGAGGAGAAATGATTGCTGTATTTAAGATTTTAAAGGGGCAAGACAATATAGATCATGACAGGCTCTTTCAACTAGTCCAGAATAGTAAAACCAGAGGACTGCGATTGGAGGGGGGTAAATTCAGAATGAATCTACAGAAACACTATTTCATTGAGCGACTTGTAAACCTATGGAACAGGCTCCCTAGGGAGACAGTTGAAGCAAGAAATGTTGATTCCTTCAAACACAAATCAGATAGTTTTCTTTTAGGAAATAACATTATGGGATATAGTACATAGCTAGTTTGGGACAAATGTGCACGGGACCGCCAGGAAGATGGAAGAAGAACTATATGGACCTGTTTTTTTATCGTCTAGCATGTCTTATGTTCTTATAACACAAATCGCTATTAGTAACTTTACCTGAAGCTTGCTGTATAGCTTCCATCACAATTTTCAGAGGCAATCCTGAAATTTTAATATCTGCCTAGAGAAAGATAAATTATAGACTTCAATGAAGCATGATAAATATTGTTGCTTCAAAATTGTGTCAAACATTCTGTATGATATATATCCATCATTTGCACAGTGTATAGGAAACCTTGTTCTAATGCAGCTGGCTGAGTCCAATGTTTCACTATAGGTGAGGTGGCCGACTTTTGGGTCATCAGGTCGCGGCTGATGTCACTTTGCAAGTGACGTAAGCAACAATCTGATGACCTGGAAGTCGGGAATATTTTTTAGCATGGGAAGCTGACTATCATCAAGGTGGTGTTATTGATGCTTAGTACTAACAGAATAAATAACATGAGATACTACTTGAGTAACCTGTAATACAGGACTCAAATACATTTTGCACAGAATTGTATAAAACAATGTCAAGGAATAAGACCATTTCACCTAATCAGTCTGCGTTGGTATTTATACTCCACAAGATCTTACACCTCCTATTCTCCTCTCTTATACCCATTTACCTCAAGTACGCTTCAAGTTTTCTCTTAAATACATTGATGCTTTTTACTTCAACTACAACATCCAGCAGTGAGTTCCACATTTTCACCACCCTCTGCGTAAAGACTTTCCTCCAAAACATCTTATTAAATATACTATATCATCATATACTGGGACTGTGCGCAATTGGCTGCCATGTTTCGCCCACATAGTAAACAGTCACTCCACTTCACAGTATATTCTGTGAAGCGATTTGAGATGTCTCAAAGACGCGATAAGACGCTATATCAAATGCAAGGATTATTATTACTACTGGCTATCTTATATTTATGCACCCTAATTGTAACCAGTATAGCATTTATAATAAATGCTTTGAGATGTCTTGAAAACGTGAAAAGAGCTATTTCAAATGCAAGGATTATTATTATTTTATTAAATAATAATTCTTGCATTTGATATAAAACCTATAACCTTTAAACATCAAGTACTTCACCAGTAACTGCCATTGAATGTACCAACTATTATAATAATGCTTGCATTTGATATAGCGCCTTATCATGCCTTCGAGACATCTAAAGCGCTTCACAGAATATACTATAAAGTGAATTTACTGTATGCTTTGTGGGTGAAATGCGGCAGTCAATGTCAATGTTCAACTATGATCTCCCTTCCCCACCTTTGTCTAAAAGGGCAATCTATAAAAGTGTAAGTGTTGTGAATTCACCTGCCCTCAAATCCCAGAAAGACCATTAATCGTAAGTCAATGTTCCATTGCACTGACTTCTACTTTGCCCACTACAGAAAGGTAATTCACCAAGAAGGTTGCTACAGCATCATAATAATCATAATCCTTACATTTGATACAGTGCCTTTAACATCAGAAGGATGTCTCAAAGTATTTCATAGGGAATACATGTACACACACGCATATATATATATGTGAAATATATGTAAAGTGGTGTCCCATGTGTTTTATGGGCAAACTTGTCCTGTCCAAAAACTGAACCCCACATTTCTTTCTGTGATAGGTATCCCTCATAAATCCACTGTCAATGCATTTTTTAAACAAAAATGAAGACATCTTTTCAATTCCTAAAGACAAATTTATAAACTGGACATGAAGGAGGGGACAGCGGAACTTTCCAAACAAGGTCTGATACTGATGTGCACATGTCTTACCTACACTTACCTTATCCCCCCCTTTCCCCATGCAATTGCTACTTTAGATTTTCTAAAAAATAATAATTTCTCCACATTCTGAGCTTTATCCAGAAGCGATTACCCGGCTGAAATAATGAAATGCAAGCCTTTACTTTCCAGTTTTCCTCTCAGCAATATCATCTGAAATAGAACTCACCAGGAGTCGGGCCCTGAATCACATCCTACCACATCCATGCTTGACAAAGTGATGGTCTGTCCCATCATATCAAAATGAGGGTTGCATTTACCTGTAAAGCAGTGATTCCTTTGCTGGTACCTGCCATCTTAAAGTCCATATCTCCATTGTAATCCTCAATACCCTGCAAGAGTCACAAAAGCAAGCTTGTCCCACACATGAACTTTTCAAGTCAATACAAAAATAGCAATTCTGTGAAAGAAAAAAAACCAACCAAAATATCAGTGAGAAGACGATAATCTTCAATTTCCGTCGGCGTCTCCTGGTTTGGTTTTGTGATAAGACCAATAGCTACGCCAGCCACAGCGGATGAAGTTGGAACACCTGGCAGATAAATAAACAAGCATGGAGATTAAAATAATTTGCAAACTCCTGCAGTAGAGAAGACGTACATAAAATAATTGGTCCGGTACTATGTCAACAGCTATAAAAAATTAACATGAATATGACTGCATGAAGAATTTTGTGCAGTGCAGATACTGCTGGAGCAGAATATGAACTGGACTGTTGCCAACACCACAATAACTCAACACAACTTCAGTTCAGAACTCATTGGAATCCCTCCTGATTTTCCTTAAAAAACAAGTACATTCACCCTTTGTTTTAAAAACAATTGTTCTGAAAAACTGAAACCAACTTCTTTTTTTGAGGGGGAAGGAATATTTATTATAAAAACCTACCTAACTAAAAGATGCTGCAAGATGGAAAAATGCAATTCTATTTCTTGGGTTTCTTTTTCTATCTATTAAATATTTTTTTTAAAAAAAATTCAGTTTACTTTTTATAATAAACAAACTTTCCTCCTTGCCTTAAATTTTTTTATCCAACCACTTCCCCCTTAAAGGTGTCCGAGTTCTTTTTCTTTCTACCTCCCCGTGGGCACATTCATCATTAAGTGGCTCTTAAGAGTGAGCCTTCACTGTGTATTAGCAATTCAACTGTGGAGGCATTGTAGCAAAAGCTCCAGATCTCACTCGATGTCCACACACTTTCAGTAAAAATCTTGTGTTTGTAATCAGGAGCAGGACCAGCTGATTTCCCCCACCCTTACCCGGAGGAACAGAGACCAATTGCAATGCCCTAGCTGCTGCTAAACAAGCTCAGAGCAACATTCAGTACCTGATCCCTCTGGTCTGTATGCAGCGATTACTTTACCTGCATCCATGAGCGCCATACTTCCAGCACATACTGAAGCCATAGAAGATGAACCTAGATAATTACAAAAAACCCCAGCTCAATGGCTATCGCATGGACAACACTCATATCGTCAAAATGAAAGAACAATATAATAATCCTTATATTAATAATAATCCTTGCATTTGGGATCACACCTCTTACGTCAGGACCAAATGCAAGGATTATTATTAATGTAAGATATACACAGCACACACTGTAAAGTGCAGTGACTGTGTTTTGTGGACGAATGCAGCAGCCAATATGCGCACAGCAACATCTCACAATCACTCAGCCATGGAATGAATAACCAATTTTATTTGAAAGACTGTCAGCCAAGACACCCGGGGAAGAGATGCTCCCTTCTCTTTTTGAATAGTGTCATGGCCTGCTAGAGAGTGAGCCACTTTCATCTGGTTTGCAGAAGCATGCGTGCCTTGGAAGACTGGTAGGTGACTGGGCACTGGTGGAGAGATTGGCAGGCGAAAAAGGAGAATACAATTCAGCCGAATTGATTGACGTACCATTAGATTCAAGAACTTCTGCTGTTACTCTTATCGTAAATGGAAATTCTTTAGGAATAATGGGCTTCAGTCCTTTTTCTGCAAGAGCACCTGTATTTGAAACAATTTTAACAAGTTGAGGGAGTTGTTTAAAATCACGAAACCTCTGTGAATTAAATTGAATGATTCATTTTCCTCACCATGACCAAGCTCCCTCCTATTCTGACCAGTTAATTTTCCAATCTCATTTGTTGCGTAGGGTGGAAACTGAAATAACAAGAAATAACAAGGAGGCGTTTCAAAGAAACATGATCGATAGGTTACAAATACCTATCTTCGAATTGAATCTTTGAGAATTGTCAGGATCCCTCAGCCATTTCTCAAAACTTTGCAGCTCAACCAAAGCTGTTGAGCAATTCCTCAGCTCAAGGTGACTCACAAGTTTTATTTGCATCAGATTGCTGGCTGTAGAACACAACTGCACTTGGCAGTATTCCCTACATTGCATGTATATGCTTCATGGGTCACTGGTAATATTTGCTATTAATAGTGTGTTAATGGACACACATAATTGGATTGACAAGTAATGCATGGCATGAGTCAAAATTGGAACTGCATTAAGTAATTAGTACATGTGCAGTCTGAAAGCTCCAAATGTCGTTGATATATTACTTGACTGTACCCTCAATTACTCTGCCAATTAACTAGCTTTAATTACACAATTGTGCATTTTCCTTGTATTGTTTTCAAACACTGCCAATGGCAATTTCATGGATGCTTACAGTCATAGGGTATTGACAATTCGGTCCAGGTCACATCAAGGCTTCACCTGGGACTCTCTTCTGAAGTCATTTAAACAAAAAGTATGAATATCGGAGTCGAAAGAATGGATGAGAGTGATGGGTCGTATCCTCATTTATTCTTTTGGAGAAGGGGGGAAATATTTCACTTTCTTTAATAATAATACTTACAGAAAATTCTGTGAAACACTGATGTGAAATGCACTGTACCAAATACAAAGTTTATTACTATTGCTATATTATATATAGTAATAATAATCCTTGCACCTTATCACATCAAGAAGTGTCAAAGCGCTTCACAGAATATAGTGAATTTACCGTATTTTTGTAGGTGAAACACGGCAGCCAATTGAGCACAGCAGTGTCCCACAAACAGTCATGGATTGAGTGAACAAATTATTTTTATTTATTTTGAAGGAATTAATACCCCCGGATAAGCTATCCTCCAATTGACTAACAACCAGGTTCCTACTTACTGCTAGGTGAACAGAGGCGTGTGGAGTAAGGAAACTTGTCCAACCTTTCACCCTGCCAGGAACTGAACTCAGATCCTCTCACTTGCGAGGCGAGCACTCTAACCTACAGGACTTTCTCTCAAATGGTGTGCTTGGTGGGGAAGAAAGTCTAAGGAGACTACTTTCTCTTCAAAGTGCTCCTATTTATACAGTAAATTAAAACTGTTACGTGTCCCACCTTCTGTTTTGCTAAGGCATTTGCATGTCAACAACAAATTGCCTTTATATAATGCCCTTCACACAGCAGTGTCTCTCAGACAATCACTCTTTCCATTAGATTTGTAATTGTTAAAAACAATTGAAGGTTAATTCCACTGTGAATATTGCTTTATCAGTTTGCTATGTTCAACAGTTCAGCTAATTAAATCTAAATAACCAACAAACAAAGAGCTGCACCTCCCTCATCAGTCGGTACATTGGAGCACTTAAAACAGCTTAATTCAAAAGCACTCGAATGTAGCAAATGGTAGCACAAGGGAAATGCAGAAGCAATAATTATCAGGAGTAACTAGTCTCTGAGGAATTTATACATAGATATTGTATAGACAATAGCCTATAATAACATTGGGAATAATTTAAACTTTAGTTTGTAAACCACTAAGAGATGTTTATTTTCTGTCAAAGTGTTATATAAATGCAAGTTATTATCAGTATAAAAATATATTGATGGGCTAAGCCTATGAAAGGGTCATTACCATGTGCATAGAGTCTTGTTAGAACTATCACTGTAGAATCTTCAATGTCATATAGTGTCAAAGTATTTTTAATAATCCCTAACTTTTATGCAATAATCTTTGCATTTTATATGAACATTAATATGAAAAAATAGGAAAAACATTATTTATATTCATAGAGAAAACATTGTATAAATAGCAGAGAAAAGTGGTTAACTGTAAAATATCAAATACCAGGAAAAATAATTTACATGTTATTCAGCTCAACATCGACACTGTTTTTCACCATTTCACTGCTCCCAACATGAAGTTATATTACAAAGGATCTGTAAGCTAACAATTTGTTTCTCAATTGGCTACTAGTTGGTATTCACATATAATAGCCATGTCCAGTATATTGTGAGTTTTGGAGCCCTAGTATGTCAATGCACAACATTTGATTCTAATAAGGGAAAGTGGAGTTCCCATTTCTGAAAGCTTCCTTTCTTTAATGCTCAGAGAAACTGGACAAAAGTTGAAGTAGCTTTTCTCTCCCATCCCTCTTTTAAAAATCTTCTGCCAGTTATAATGATGATGGAACACATTTAACAGGTCAAGAGATGTGCAGTTGTGCAGTGGAGAGGGGAAAGAGCTTCCTTTGTGAGTAACAATCTCAACAATAAAAACGTAATTACAGACCCAAGCCATACAAGTTTTGTGCAACTTACAAAAATCATAATTGTTTTTAGTAAAATATATTGTGAATCAATATGAAAATCAAATTAAGAGTGTACAAAATGCACCTTAGTGTAGTAATTAGGAACAGAGTGGATAAAGAAAGATCCATCTTACCTCATAATGCAACATGAAATTTTTCTCCTTCACTCCACTGTAACATTAAATATCACAATCACATATCAGTTTCAACAAAATAGTGTCTCAACCACACACTTGGGATAAATCTGCAGTTAAACAATATGGTGCAGAGTAAAAAGTGTGTATATATGTGTGGTTGGGGAGATAAAGAAGTAGCTTTGGGGATTTCTCAAGAGGGTTAAAGTTAGAGTTGTCAATCACTCAAGCTCCAATACGTGAATGAATTAAAACTGTTATTGAGTTTTGGAGTGAGTAATAGGCAACTTTATGCTACAAATTCTGTCTTTCTTGGTTGCGCTAGAAATGAAGCACATTGTTTCGGCAGAATCTAACCACACTCTATCTGTTGTGGGAGTGATTGATACAGAGACTGGGTGATGCAAATGAGGAAGATATTCAGTTTCACAGTACTAATGTCCTTCACCACAATTTATCCAAAATTTATATTTTACAAATTTACATTTCCACAATGACTCCCACATTCACACACTAACACCACTACCAGCACTTGCTGGCAGGTATGCACCTATGTCAGGTTGATTCTTTATACTGCTATTGTTTCAATAACTAACTGATCCACACTATGTAACAGCAGGAAGTTGAGGAATTGGAGTTGGGGTGGATAAGAAAATAATGAAATTTACTGTTGAATGGTTTTAAAAAAAACTGAATGATTAGAATGAGGAGCCATCAACAGTTTCTGATCAAATGTTACACTTCAGTATCATGACTGTTCTTAAAAATATTTGCACGCTTTCTTGCGAACAAAAACCTTGAAAGTGTTTTTGATTATCTATCGCATATACACCCCCCAATTAGAATAGGTTTGCGAGACACAACCCAACTGCAAATCCCCAACTGATATCAAGAACAGTGAAATGAGGACCATGGAATGTAGCAGGACTTACCTTATGAGTGTGGTGATCAGATCAGACTTCACACCAGATTCTAGTGAATCAAACGTTACCGTACAAAGAACCTATTAAAAAAATCAGGAATAGAAGAAACTTTTAGGGAGTTTATAAAAAAAATGTATTTTTTATACATTTCAAGATTTTTGAAACAATGTTATGGTACAAGGTTATCAGGTGAAATGCAATCAAAATAATTTTCCTCATTGAATTTAGACAAAATCCACATTGATCTGACAAAACAAACGGACTGTTATAAACTCTTAGAACCCTTCAGGCAGCACAGACTGGTTTAACAGATTTAGACAAAGTTGAGTTGTGGAGCAGATTCTTGGCAGTGGCTCTGGAGCCAGTCAACAACCCAGTTATTAATAATAATAATCCATGTATTTGATGTAGATAAACTATCTATTTATTGCTAGATAAACAGAGGTGCGTGGCGTAAGGAAGCTTGCCCAATGTTTTGCCCAGACAGGAATCAAACCCAGGTCTTTTGCTTGCGAGGTGAGTTCTCTAACCACTGAGCTGCTAATGCATCTGGTGTTGATCTGGTCACATCTGTGATGCAAGTGTTGGGAGTCAGACATATGGAATTGTGGGGGGGGGAAAAAAATCAGCCATTTGGCTGATTTTCTTCCCCACCCTCCTCAGCTCCTAATAATAATCCTTGCATTTGATATAGCGCTTTTCACGTCTTCTAGATGTCCCAAAGCGCTTCACAGAATATACTGTAAAGTGAATTGACTGTATATTTGTGGGCGAACGCGGCAGCCAATTGTGCACAGCAATGTCCCACAAACAGTCGTAGATTAAAAATGACCAATTTACTATTGTTTTTTGTTTTTGGAGGGATTATTATTAGGCGTGTGGAGTAAGGAAACTTGCCCAAGGTTTCGCCCTGTCTGGAATTGAACCCAGGTGTCTCACTTGCAAAGCGAGTGCTCTAACCACTGAGCTACAGGACTCCTACTCCCAGCTCAGGTGCCCATTCAGCATGTCAAGCGTTTTGAGACATAAAAGTGTAAGCGTACATTGCTTAAGGTGCAACTGTAGATATTCGTTCAGTACCTGTGTCTGTCCCCTCTGAAACAATGCAGATCCATGAAGAGGTTTATAAAGATCAACCTCACAATTAATGTTCCTAAGAGATGTCAAGTCTCTACCATCGCACCTACAACACAACGAAAAAGAGATTAAATCTTCAAGACCAGCAGCATTTCATTAGCAAATACTAAAGCACAATGTCCTGTATATGCGCCACACTATATAAAAAAAAGTTAAATTTGGAGAATAATTTTTTCAGAAAATAAAACATGGAACAAGAATAGGTCAATGGGTCAAACATGTTTGCTCCCGCCACAACCATTCAAAACCTACTCTAACATGGACTTCTTCCACTCACTTTCTCCAGCACCTTGGGGAACATATTGCAATTTAAGATAATTGAACCCTAAAGATACCTCTAAAATAGTCAACAAATCTAGAACAAGAGGACAAAAATTCCAGCATTAAAAAGCTAGATTCCCCTCTCAACCTTCCAAAAAGAACAAGTGATAATGAGGAAACACAAGTCCTGGAATTGCCCTTGCAGCTTATCTCCAGTGTCTCAAATGTCTTCAAGTCTTTGAAACCTAAGATTAAAGACCTGTCTTCAAGTCTTTAAAATGCGACTAAAACTACCCATAATATTCTAAACATAGTATCATCAATGACATACAAGGTTAGAACAACTACTTGAAGTCGAATGCCCTCAAGACATAACTACTATTTGCTCAGCTTTCTAGATGCGACACGATCAAAACACTTTATTGATAAACCTAAAAGTGTATTTTAGTGTCAAGGGAGCAACAGATACAAGAATATAGTAATGAAAGCAGAAACTTGGCAGGAACTAGGGGGTGCAGCACTGAGATAGCACACTGTACTTTCAACTTTGGGACCCAACTTGAAATCACGGCCTAGACAAAGCAATTTCTCAAGGCTCTGTGCACTATTAGGAATTGTGACCTTCAAAGAGATATTTCTTTACAATTCTTTATATTTCTGCTGACAAAATAGTCAGATTATTAATATTAACATTAATGCCAGACAGATGAATCATTATATATTTTTTTCTATTATATTTATTTTTGGAACGCATCATGACAGATCCTGAAAAACTAAAATTCGGTGTCATTTTGTGCATTTCCATCTAGCTTTAAAGGAGTAAAATGTAATTTTGCAACACAACAGTGTGGCTTCTGATGCCACTTGACCCTTTTCGTTACATACTTTCCACTCTTTTGCTACCACATTCTTCCAATAGCACAACTTATTCCTTGACCAAGAGTGAAGCCAGTGACCCATTTTCCCAGTCACAGCGAAAAGACAGTAAAACCAACTAGAAAAAGGTGCAGAAGAATTATAGATATTTTCATCTTTTCCAAATGTTTCCAGCCTCCCTACGGGCACAGTGTCTTTCCTGTATCAGCACTTTCTGCTGGTGACAAAGACAGGAATGAGAACTCGCCATTTGAAGAACTAAAGGACCAAGCCATGTTTACTGACAATTCACTCATCAAAGGTTTGAAAATCTCCTGGGTAAAATAATATCAGGGTATCTCTGCGAGTTCAGAGACCATAGGAGAGATAATGAATACTTGCAATGGGACAGGATGATACATACATACTCCGGGTCTGTTTGCGGGACACTGCTGTGCACAATTGTATTACCAGTTTGCCTACAAATACAGTCACTCTGTTTCATAGTAAATCCTGTGAAGCACTTTGAGACAATGACAACATTGATAAGGCAATATGTTAAATGTAAGGATTATTATAATGCACAATGATGTGATAATAAGTTACGAGTATGTCATTTCCATAGGACCCAATGGGTTAAGATCAATTACAGTCATTTAAGTTGCCTATATAATGAGTTAAACTGGCATATCACACACGTTGCAGCCCATTTTCACAATATAAATTGCAACGCCAGGTCCTTTTGAATTGACCTGAGCCATAACTGATCAGAGAATACTTCCACTGGTTATTAAATGCAGTGATATTCTGCTCAGTTTTCAAGCACAATGAACCCTGTCCCTTGTGCCCACAGAATACAATAACTCGCATTTATATTGCACCCTTCATGCGGGATAGTCACTAAGCGGCAGACGTTGACAACCTGAGGGAGGTGACCCTAGGTACGGTTGAAGAGGAAAAGCTTCAGTTGTGATCTGAAGACAGCCAAAGAGGGGGGGAAAACTGCAGCAATCATAGATTTTCTTTGCTAAAAAACCTGCTATATAAATCCAAGTTGTTGTTGTTGGCACAAAAGTCCGTTCACATTGGCACGAAAGCCCATGCACGTTGGCGCGAAAGCCCACGCACGTTGGCGCGCGAGCCCTATTCGCTTTGGTGCAAAAGCCTGTTTGCAATTCCGTGAAAGCCCATACACAGTGACGCAAAAGTTCTTTCACATTGGCATGAAAGCCTGTGCAAATTGATGTGAAAGCCTCTTCACATTGGCGTGAAAGCCCATTTGCATTGACACGATTGCCCGCTCGCTTTGACTCGAAAGCCCGTTCGCTTTGGCACGAAAACTTGTTCACATTGTCGTCAAAGCCCGTTCCCATCGGTGAGAAAGCTGTTCTCATTGACGCAATAGACCGCTCCAGTGGCGGGCAAGCACGTTGGCAATGGCGGGCAAGCATGTTTGCATTGGCGGGCAAGCTGTTTCCGAATGTCCCGAAAGCCCATTTGTATTGACATGAAAGCCATTCTCATTGACGCAATAGTCTACTCGTCTTTGCGTGATAGCCCGTTTGCATTGACCCGATTGCTCGCTTGCTTTGGTACAAAAGCCCGTTCACATCAATGCAAGAGCCCATTCCCATCAACGCAGAAGCCCGTTCCCATTGACCCGAAAGCCATTCTCATTGATGCGATAGTCTGCTCGCAATGGCACAAAAGTCCGTTCCCATTGGCGCGAAAGCCCGTGTACATTGACTTGAAAACCCGCCCGCATTGGCGCAAAAGACCATTTGTATTTCCGTGAAAGTGAATACACAGTGACGCAAAAGCCTTTTCACATTGACGTGAATGCCCGTCCCCATTGCCGCGAAGCCCCTTTGCATTGACGCAATTGCCCGCTTGCATTGGCTCAAAAGCATCAGCGTGAAAGCCCGATTGCTTTGGTGTGAAAACTTGTCGTGAAAGTCAGTTCCCATTAGTGAGAAAGCCGTTCTCATCGACGCGATAGCCCGTTTACATTGATGCGATTGCGTGCTTGCTTTGGCGTGAAAGCTCGTTCACATTGGCACAAAAACTGGTTCACATTGGCTCTCAAGCTCGTTTGCATTGGCGCGAAAGCCTTTTTGTATTGGCGCGAAAGCCCGTTCCCCATTGATGTGAAAGCCCATTTGCATTTCCGTGAATGCCTGTTCACATTGCCGCGAAAGCCCATTCTCATTGGTGTGAAAGCCCGGTCGCATTGCTGCAAAGCCCCTACGCATTGGCGCCAAAGCCCGTTCCCCATTGATGTGAAAGCCCACTTTCATTGTCGTGAAAGCCCATATGTATTTCCGTGAAAGCCCGCTCACATTGGCGTGATTGCCTGCTTGTTTTGACTCGAGTGCCCATTCCCATTAACATGAAAGCCCGCTTGCATTGGTGTGAAAGCCCGCACAGGCCTCCGCATACCCGGGGCTGGCTGGCTGTTGAGTCAGAGTTCATAGGGTGTCTTCTCCACGTGGAATGCCCATGGCTGCGGAGGCTGGCGGGCTTGGAGGCGACACCCTATGAACTCTGACTCGCCAGCCTGCCCAGGGGGATGCGGAGGCCTGCGTGCAGACGCCCGTGAGCACGGGGTGGGGTCAGAGGCCCGGGGGCCGGTGAGCAGTGGGAAGGCATCGGGGTGACGGCTGGCGAGGCATTGGGACGAAAGCATCGATGTTAATCGGCTTTCGCGACAATGTTAATTGTGACAGCAAAGCCATAATGAGTTGCGTGATCCTCGCTGGACATCAAGCTAACTAATTTTGTGAACCATTTTGAGATGTTTTGCATGGTGAGGTTCAGTATCAAATGTTAGTTTTATTTTACTCAGTTCTAATGACAACATAGGATATGGTACAGTATATTACAATATGGTGCTGATTCCCCTTGACCCTCAGTTAGATGCATGTTTGCTAACTGTCCACAAGGTGGCTATATTGTTACATTATATGAATTTACAAGTTGATTCCTTCATCCAAGTTTACCAGCCTGATATGATATTCTGTTTAAAATAGTAGCAAGGTTATCCTGATTTCATACTTTTAGACTAACATAAATACTGTCGAATAATATTTGGACATACTTTCAGTACATTTCACTGTAGCTCAGTGGTAAGAGCACTCACGTTGCACACCACTGTCCCATCTCCAACCTACCCTTCCTTGCCAAAGTCCTGGAACATATTGTTGCAGGTCAACTTTGGTCACACCTCTCCCTCCATTCCCTCCTCGAGCCCCTGCAGTCTGGTTTTCGCGCTGCCCACGGCACAGAGACAGCGCTTGTCAAAGTTACAAACGACATTCTCTCTATCTGTGACCAGGGCTTCCTCTGGCTCCTCGTCCTCCTGGATCTCTCTGCCACTTTCGACACAGTCGACTACGCCATTCTTCTCAATTGGCTTTCCTCCCTCATCCATCTTAGTGGGATCGCACTCGCATGGTTCGAGTCCTATTTAACCAACCGCCTCCATTTCATCTCAGCAAATGGTTTCTCCTCCCGTCCCCGCCTGGTCACCTGCAGGGTACCCCAGGGCTCCATTCTTGGCCTCTTATTTTCCTTATCTATATGTTCCCTCTGGGCAATGTCATCTGCAGACATGGGGTAAACTTCCACATGTATGCGGATGACACACAAATCTATTTTGCCTCCTCCAGTACCAACTCCAGGTCCACCGATGTTCTATCAGCTTGTCTCGCAGACATCAAGGCCTGGATGAGTGCAAACTTCCTGCAGCTAAATATGGACAAGGCAGAAGGCACACTCCATTGGCTCCCGTCCTTGTCTTTACTCCTGCGGATCTAAACTCCTCAACCTCCCTGAGCTCTCCCTCAGATCGTATGAACCAGTGCACAACCCTAGCGTCTGGTTTGATCCCCAACTGTCCTTCCTCCCCCACATCTGGTCCCTCACCAGGACCACTTTCTTCTACCTCCACTACATTGTCCGCCTCCAACCGTTCCTTACCCCAAATGCAGCTGAAACCCTCGTGCATGCGTTTGGCACCTCCCGCTTGGATTACTCCTCTTCTCGCCAGTCTCCCCAGCTCCACCATTCACAGGATCCAGCTCATTCAAAACTCTGCTGCCCGCATACTGACCCGGACCAAACTCCGTACCCACATCTCACCAGTTCTGGCCAGGCTCCATTGGCTCCCCATCACCGAATGGATCGACTTCAAGATCCTCACACTGTTCAAATCCATTCATTCCCTGGAACCTCCCTATCTCTCTGATCTCCTCACTCTACCAATTGGCACTTCCGTTTGACTGTCACCGGCCTCTTGCTCGTCCCTCACACCCTCCCCCCCCACCACTATTGGAGGTCGTGCTTTCAGCTACTGTGCCCCAAGACTCTGGAACACTCTCCCTCAATCCCTCTGCCTTGCCCCCCCTTTCCTCTCTTTCAAGACCCGCCTGAAAACTTTCCCGTTTGACCATGCTTACAGCCACCTCCCTCCTCCTTGGAGTCAGGCTCCGCCACTGTTAAGTGCTCTGAGGTGCTACCCTGCATAGAGGACGCTGTATAAGTGGAAGTTGTTGTAGAGAGACCTGAGTTTGATTCCCGGGCAGGGTGAAACGTTGGGCAAGATTCCTTTCTCCACACGCCTAATAATAATCCCTCCAAAACCAAAAACAATAATAAATTGGTCATTTTCAATCTACGACTGTTTGTGGGACATTGCTGTGCGCAATTGGCTACCACTTTTTGCCTACAAAATATACAGTCAATTCACTTTACAGTATATTCTGTGAAGCACTTTAAGGCGTCTTAAATACATGA